TGAGGCAGGCCCGCGCCCAGTCAACCACCACGGGTTGGGAGGCAGTCATTTTTCCAGAGTAAGTCTCCACAGTTCTCATCAGCTCTTCAAAGAGCTTACATTCAGCCTTCCAGGCTTCCATTCCATCTACAACATTTCTATCCTTACCAGTTGTGACACATGTACACATTGAAATCATGTCAGATCATGTCAATGATGTAAGCTGAATATCAGAAAAGCCATAAGCATCGTTGTACCTGCCTGAGCTCTCACACCTTCCCAAGCTGGCATGGACCTGGTCTGTCTTCACGTGCCCCTCTCGCCCGCCTTCGGTTTCCATGCTCCCATGGGACTTTGCTATCTTGCAACCATAGATGTCTCAGGTTCCTCTGCGAGCCCTGGCCAGGTGTCCAGTGTATGCTTGTAGATGCCGAGCTTGGAAGCATGTGCTAATGTCAGTGCATTCAGCTGTAGATGTCGGGGGACACTGGTAGGGGCCAGCGGGATCTCTGTGACAGGTGGCCCTCACTGGAGTGGTACCTGCTGGATCAGAGCCAAAGTCTCTGTTGTCATGGGGCTTCTTAGAAATTCTTAGGCTCTTTAGTGAACATGCTTGTTGGAAGCCAGGAGCTTATTAAACATTCAGAACCTCCAGCCCCTATCCCGTGCCTGCTCAACCAGAATCTGCATTTTTAAAAAGATACCCAGGGACACCAATGCACACAGAGGCTGGAGGGGCTCCAGCCTGGCCCATAAAAACTCTCGATTCTCAAGGTGATCAAACTCCGGAGAACAGTTATTTTCTGCAATGCGCACTGTAACGGGACAACCTGGGGCAATGCTTGCTGGAGTTCACTGTCCTGTTGTATAGGGGGTGATGAGGGGTGAGAACACCTGCTGTGCCTCCTTCACAGGGTCACTCCCCTTGACCCCCTACTTGCCACTGCCAGCCCTGGTCCGGTGAGATGGAACAACATGCTGTGGATGGTGTGGTTGGTGATGCATGACCAGTGTGGTCAGCACACACTTACATTTCCTTATTTTTTACTCATTCATTCTTTCATTCATGCTACTGTCAGCCAGTCACTAACTCCTACGGTGTTTGATTTGTGTTGAGCTGTCCCCATGGACAGCTGGGGAAGCAGAACTAAAGGAACTGCAAACCCTGTCCCCTGTCCCTCAGTCTGGCCAGAGATGCGTAGACACCAGCAGATGAGCACATTCAGAATTATGGCTACTCTGGGGTCAGGGTGCATGGGGCCACAGGGGGCTCTGCTCTGAAGGAAGACAGCAAGTTCTGGCTGGGAGGAGCACAGAAACAGCATTGGAGCAGAAGAAATGGCAGGGAATAGGCAGGGGAAATGTGCCTGATTTGGAATCAGGCACTACATAGTCCTCAGCGGGAAAAATGGGGACAGAAGCCACTGTAAGAGACCTTAAGGCAGGTCATGCCAGGACCCCAGGAGTGGGATGGCATCAAGATGGCTTGATCCCGAGGGTCCTGAGGGTGGCCAAGACTGGGAGCATGGGAGGAAGAGGCTTTGAGACGTCCCAGGGCATTTGTCCAACAGGCAGGAGGTCACAATGCTTAGCACTGAGGACAGGGGACTGCACTGGACCCCAAGGGGAACAAACGAGACTGTGGGGGAAGAAAGAGAACATTACGCTATACTTAGTGAAGGGGCAGAAGACAGAGGGACCATGAAGAAGCCTAAGGGAGGCTTGACATCTCAGTCCCTCTGTACATGGAGCAAACACCAGGGATCCTGCCTCATTGGCCATCGGACTCATCTGTGGAAATGGCAACCCTGGGAGCCCCAGAGTGAGTGGAGGCTGGGGACCCCAAGAAGGAGTGACAGGGACTGGTGGGGGAAGACAGCTGTCTTCTCTGCCTGGGCACTGTCCAGCCCGTGGAAAACAAAAGAATACAAGAGAAGGAGAGACAAAAGAAATGCTTGAGCTTGATTTTGTTTTTGAGGTGAAGTCACAAGCCCGATACCTCCCAATACCCAGAAAATCTCCCAGAACCTTCCAGAATGTGTCCCAGGTTGACTCCAATGAGCTAATTATGATCCTGAAGAGCACAAAGTCAGGATCTATTGTAATTAACAAGAGAGAGGAAGAAGCCCCAGGACTGGGCTCTGGCCTGAAGATTGAGGCTGTGACTTTCAATGGGTGACAGCTTCCAGCAGCCCAATAATTGATCTGTTTGGGGCTCTGGTTTTAAGTGAATTAGCTGCTTTAGAAAGGCTGGCAGCAGTTGTCGGTCCATTAGCAAGACCAAAAAAACATCACAACACTGACGGGAAAAGGCCACCATGACTGAGCTCTGCAGGCATCATCCACAGATAACGTCATCTCAGATACAAGCAAGCCAAGGTTGGCAGGGTCGAACCACCCACCATGGCCCATCGCCATGCCCCTTTGCAAACCCACAAGTGCCAGAGGTCTGAGCAAGGACCTGCAAAGTGTTAACTCATTCATTCATTCTTTTTTTTTTTTTTTTTTTTGGCTTACCTGGGGGCTGCAGGGAAAGGGGGCAGGGCTGGGGTTAAGGATGGAGGATCCTCCCAACTCCCTTCCTGCACAGCCTGGCCATGGGCACAGCACTCAGGTACTCTTGAACCTTTTTGTTTTTTCCTCTGGCTCTGTCCATCCCAGAAGCACCTGCCCCCCTCTGTGCCAGCCCCCAGCTGCCAACCCTTCCTGTCCATGCCTTTCTTGTCAGTTTTTGCAGAGTCTTAAGTTCTTTCTCCTCCTTCTGGTCCTCCTCACCACTAACAGTAGCCCAGACTCTGGTCCTGGCAGCTTTCCTTTTCTGCCATTTCAATGAAACACACCCCCCTCCCACCCCAGCAACTGGTATGAAACAAGTACTTGGTAGCCCTATTGTGCAGAGAAGAAAACTGAAGCTCAGATCGACAGGCTGGGTCTCTGACAGGTCTTTCTGCAGTATCCTAGCCGAGTCACCCGTGCCCCTGGTTGATTCTGACGGTCTCTCCTAACCCACAACCCACCACCGCCACCCCACAAGTGCCTGGGCTCCCTCCTAATCCCTTTCACCCAGCCCTGCTCTGATTCCTCTTTCCGGGAGGGCCCTGAGTTTCATCCTGACCCTGGGACATCATCCACAGGAGAAGACCAGGCACCCTTTCATTCTGGGGCCTCCAGAGCTCATCTTGTCCTTCCCCCGGCCAACTCAGAGTGGGAGCTGTGTCCCCAGGGCCACTGCACAGAGCTGGCACCACCCACTCCCACTACTTTCTATATCCAGGCGGCTGCAGGGAGAAGGTGTGAGGCTCTGATAAGGTGGGGCGCAGCTATTTTTAGAGGACACTGGCTTTCCTCTGAGGCCCCTGAGCAGCTCAAGGGCTACTAGCCATCGTGTCTGTGTCCTGAGGAATGTGCACCCCAGCCCCAGAGACTCCCATGATGGGGGCTCACACTGTCCTGCCCCACTTCCCCTTCATCCTTTTTATCTGTCAAGCTTTCAGGCAGCCTTAGAGAAACCACATTGGCAGAAAGTCAAGAACAGAAAAGAACCAAGCTTTAGGATGGGGGCTCTGTTGTCTGAGTAAGGGTCAGTTCTGGTGCTCAGAAGAGTCGGCACAGGCAGGGTGCTGAGAGCCCCCTGCCAGGTCTTGGGGCGGGTGGGGAAGGAGCGTCAGGAAAGAGTAGGCAAAAGCTGGTGGCAGCTCAGCCCTGCTAACCCGACTAACTGCCTGTGACCTTGAACAGGGGTCTCTGCTCTCCCGGAATGGCCGTCACCTCGAGCAGAGAGATGGACCCTCAGGGCGACCCTGCTGAGGGCCCAGCGCCTGGGCTCAGCGTTTGGGGTGTGATTAGAACTCACAAGTCTAGCCAGGCCAGCGTTGAAGCAGGTCTGCCTGCCCTGGCGACCACGGGTGCTAGGGGTTGGGGAAGGAGAGGCGCCGCAAGCTTAGGGGTTCAGACGCATCCCAGGGAGCCCTGTGCAGATGAAGAAACTGAGGCCAGAGGCCGGCTGGCATGGCAGTGGACTATGGTCACTTTCAGGGGCTCCATAACTCCCTTCACTGGTCGCTGGGTGGAAAACGGAAGGTCATATGCTGCCGACCACGGCGATGACGGTACCAACGGAGCCCGCCCTAAGCACTCCAGGGGTGCACTTTCTAGGGTTACGTGGCCCAGGCTATTCTGAGGGCCCCAGTTGGCTCCGGGACAAGCCAGAATCCGGGATAGGGAACGCAGATTTACCACACAGCGTGTGTCTCAGCTCCCACTTTCCAAGGTTAGGAGCCCGAGAACAGGTGGCGAGAGCGCCGGCTGTCAGGGGCCGCGTCTTACCACCTTCCTAACTGTTCCATTTCCCAGCTCCGACAAATGGGGGACCCCAGACCAGAGAAGGGAGGCGGTTTGCCAAGGTCCTGCTGCCAGTTGGTCCTGCTGCCTCTTTCCCGCTCCCCCGACCGCGCAACTCCTGCACCATGATGCCTTGCAAATCTCACCACTTTGAGAAACTTTTCCTGTCACCACGGGAGCCGTGCGAACCCGGTCCACGCGAGCATTCACGCCCCCTTCCCACCCAGGTCACTCCTCGGTCCGCTAAGAGACCGTGGCCCGTGTGCGCCCGGGCGCCACCTGCGCCCAGTGGAGCATAGAGCGAGGGCGAGGGCGCTGGGGTTAAGAGGGGATCCCAGCCCTAGGCGCTGCGTTTACAGAGCCCGCAGGACCTTTTTCGCCCTAGTAGTTGTGGCGCGGAGGTCCAGAACGTGGACGCTTCGGCGGGGGGGCGGCTCGCGTGGCGGCACTAACTGCATCTCCAGGAACCCGGCCGCCGGGCTCCGGACCCCAAGACAGAAGCACCCTAGCCCCCGGAGGCTACCCGAGGCGGCAGCTATTTATAGAGAGAGCCGCGCTCAGTCCCTCTTGGCGACGTCGGCGACAGCTGAATATTTTGCCCAGATATGGCTGGGGCCAGGAAGGGGGACGTGGAGCCCCGCGAAAGCCAAGGGGGACCCATGCAGGGTGAGGGGACTTACCCGGGCGCGGGGCGGCAGGGCCGGTGCGGGCGCGGGCGGCGGCTGCGGGGCAAGCGCAGCGCGGGGCTGGAGGAGCTCCCGGGCGGCCGCGCTGGGCGGGCACTGTGGGCTCCGGGGGTGGGAGCCAGGGGCGGGCCCCGCTCGGCGCTGTCACCGCGCCCCGCCCCGCCGCCGCCCGCGCCCTCCCTCTCTCGGCTCCCATTCGGGGGGTGCCGGCGCCCTGCACAGTCCCTGCCCCGGGAGTGACCCCTGCTGCCCGAATGTGACGCCGGAAAGCCCGGCTAGAAAGCGGAATGAGTGCGGGTCGCACCCTGGCTGGGCGTCAGCTTTCCCACCTGAACCGGGAAGAATTTCCGCGATGGTGGAGTTATCTAGCAAACAGGTGGACAGGGTTTGGTTCCTGCCGGGTCTCGAATTTCAATCTCGAGAGTCCTCTTTGGTGAAGGTAGCTGAGCCAGCCAGCGGATGCCGCGCCGTCTCCTCCGTCTCCTCCGCGAGTGGGCACAGCCTTCGTAGCTCCAGGGTCAGCAGAGAAGCGCTGACCAGCATCCTCCGGGCGAACACGGGCTTGCATGCGTGCTGGCTGCATTGCATGGAGAGGAGAACGGAACATCCCAAGAGTCGCTGCACCTGTTGTGAAAGGTTACTGTGTTCCCCAGAACAAACCACTTAAACCCTATCAAATCTGAAGTGCTTTAACGAACAAAGGGCTCGGACTGTGGAATGAGTGTGGACGTAGGGGAACAGCGCATTTAGGATTGTTAGCAAGTTTGGGGTGATGTAGTTCCTAAGTCAGTCAGTTATTTAACCGTAGTGTACCAATGAGTTTCGATTTTTGTGAAAATGTATTTTTGTAACTCACAGCTGTAAGAGAATGTTCTCAGGTGTGCATGCCACTCGTTTCACAATAGAACCAGGATTTCCTTATTGCAGATGATTTGTAGAGCATTCTGACTGAGGGGGCGAAGCAGCCCAAACGTGCACACAACAGGAACGTGAGCTTCACCAACTTCAAACATCAGCACCTGTGCCACCACCATTGGTTCTGGAAGCAGGGCCAGCCGCTCCGAAGCCAACCTGGCCCTCAGAAGGACACCACTTTCTCCATCTTGCACTGCCTCTGATCCAGCTTCCTGCTAATGCCCCTGGGAAAGCAGAGGCAGATGGCCCCTGTGCTTGGGCCCCAGAACCCACGGGAGACACAGATGGAGCTCTTGGGTTCAAAGGAATTTCCCTGGAGTTTCTTCCTACCTCACCCTCTCATCTCTGAGTTTCCAGTTCTCATGAAACTGAGTTTCAAAGATGGTATGAAGTAGAGGTGTGTTTCATTGACTTGTCTAACAGACTGGCCCAATGTCAGATTAGTGCTATAGTTAGATCAATAACTACATTTGCTTTAGTTTCAAGATAGTGACATAGAAACCATTTCTTCCTTAATAATAGACAATTTGAGGGTTTATGTGTGTTTGTTTTAGAGAAATAAGGCACTATAAAAACATTTGTAGTTCTATTTAACTTAAACATGTATGTGTCGTGCAATTTTTACGCTATCTCAAGTGATTATTCACTGATGTAGGTATTTTGGTTTAGTGGTAAATATTGAATCTTTAAGATCTATAATTTTAGTGTTTCACCTGAACAGCTGAAAACACCAGACACTTATTTTCATCTTTCTGTTTTTCTTTTTCCTAGATTTTCTCAAATACAAATGATTTTAAGAACTTTTAGCTCAGTCTGTTTTTCCCCCCTAAGGTTCACTCCTTATTTCCAATAGTTTATGCATTTCATCGTATGGCCATCTAACTGGCCTACACTATGCTCGGAATCTTAAAAATAAGCTTTAGCTGTTTGAAAGGCAGAGTGATAAAGACAGAAATCTTCCATTCACTTAGTCACTCTTCAACTGGCTGCAACGGTAGTTCAGGGTGAAGCCAGGATCTAGAACTCTTGAGTGTCCCATGTGGGCGGCAAGGTCCCATGTACTTGGCCATGTCTCTTGCTGTCTTCCCAGACACATTAGCATGGAGCTGTATGGGAAGCAGAGCAATGGGGACTTGAACTCAAAATCAGATACGGGACGTCAGCATCCCCAGAGGTGGCTTACCCTGCTGCACCACCACACTGGCCCCTCAAAGTCAAGCTTCTAAGCTTCCAAGCTGAACAGGATCATTGCTGTAGCCTCAGTGAACCTTCAGAAGAGGCTCAACTCTTGTGCCCCTCTTCCATATCTAAGCTGTGAATTCTAAGAGCTATAACTAAAAACTTCAAAAACACCTTCAGCATTTCAGCTTAATTTCTGTTGTTGCACTCCTAGTCTCAACTTCCCTCCCACCCTACCTTTGGGCCACTGCTGTAGCTTACATAACTTGTCCATCTGCCAATCTGCCCACCACATAGCAATCACACGCGTGCCTGACCTGTGCGGAATGACATGGAGCAAGTCAGGGCTGCCATGGACAGCAGGCTGCTGGAGTCTGTCACGTAGCTTCACAAGCCACTCAGCCACCTCTCTCCCCGGGAGCACTGTCAATGATGTCCCACTTGCTGGAAATTGGGATCAGTGGGAATCTTGACAGCTTGGGAATTGTCAGCTATTACACACCAAGACTCATCTCACCTCCCCCAGAACCAGTCCTCACACATGCACCAGGGCCTCCAGAGATGGCAGCGTGGCTAAGACCCAGCCTGCTCTTGAGGGGCTCAAGTTCTCATTGGGATGATTGGTGCACTAGTGACAGTCTGTCTACAAGGCGTACTGAGACAGGAAGGGCAGGTGAGGCTGCCCCAGCCCCGTGCCCCGAGAAACTTTATGGTTGGCCCAGTGGGTCAGTGCTGTACTGGCAAGCAAAAATGCTCGGGGGGGGGGGGGGGGGAGGAGTTGCAGGCCGAGGGGAGGGGATTAATAAGCAAGGTTAGGAGGGGGGTCAAGTCTTACACTGGAGGGTCAGCAGTCCTGGATGGACATGGAGGGATCCAGGGTGATTGGAGTTGGGGGGCATGGCTATGAGGAGGGCAGGGGTTTGTGGAAGGCTAGAGTCTCAAGTCTGTGTTCTATGAGTGTAAGAAATCACTTGAGATTTGCAGTGAGGGCTTCACCTTGGCTGTCCCTCCTACAAGCCTCGAGGGGTGCCTTCATCTAGGGCTCCCATGTGGTCAGGACAGAGTCCTGTTGTGATACGAACCAGGGAATGGGAGGAGCACCTGGTATCAGGGGGTAGACAATCTTGGCAGGAAAGGAAACTTTCTTCTCCCAGTCACAAAGTCTTAGACATTACATGGGACACAGTTCTTTATATGATAAACATTTTATTCTAATATTATAGTAATAATTCAAGTGCAATTTTTTTTGAAAAGCCAACTTTGTTAAAACAAAACTTGTTAAATATCTTTCATCAAACATAGCATATTTTTTTGCAATCTCCCACAGCAATTAGAGCCATGTAGCAGAAATAAGATTTTTTTAAAGCCTACCACATTTTGTTATTGCTAAAAAAAAAAAAAAATCTAAATTAGTTGTCAAGGTCTCGGAAGCAGTGATTAATTAACTTTTGCAAGCTCTACCAGATACTCTGACATAAAATCATGAATCCAGACGTCAGTGTCTGGCAGCGATGTGTCTACCAAATAAACCACCACTTTCCGGTCCCAAGGGTGAGTGTGTTCAATGACCGTCTGCACCAAGGCCACCAGAGGTTTCTTCTCCACATGATTCCGGAACACCATGGAAGCCTCCTCGGACCACTGGCTGCACTTCACTCCTGCGGGAGACAAGGGGTGCAGAGGAGGCAGTGAGGTGCCAGGGAGGCCTGCTTGGAGTGGTTACAGTGCGGCACTATTCAGTCCCAAGGCAGCTTATGCATTCCAGGTGAGACGGGCCTAAACTGACACCCAGCTCCCCAGCAATCCTAACGACCATTCAGCAGACAGTTTTCCTAGCTGGAATGGAGTCACATCTGTAAACCTTGGCCTAGAGACACTTGTTTCATTGAAGATGGAATGTTCTGTTATCAAGGGAGGTTAGAATGACTAATGTGAATTTCTCATGCAGAAATCATATTGAAACCAATCGCTTAACCAGGGAAAATTATATTAATGATATTTAATGGCAGTCTGTTCATTACAGATTTGTTTTTATTTGATAAATCAAATATAGTAAAAAGGGAAAAAAGTGGATGATTTATTTTCAGTATAATTTTTCAAAAATCATATACACAGCATCATGGAAAAATCGCTAGGCTCCAAGTCAGGAGACTGAGCTGCTGGCCCCAGCTCTTCCTCTATCTGGCTACAGTGTGTGCTCGGGCAAGTCAGGTGACCACTCATGTCCTCAGCTGACCTCTCCTAAAAGAAACTGCTTCAATGAAATGAATGTTGAGACCCATGCACCTCTAAATATCTATGAACTCTGAACTTGAGAACAAGTTAAGAGAATTCTTAGATCTTAAAACTGAGACAAGAAAAAATGCTTTTAAGAAATATCATTAAACTAATATAAATTAAGGCCACATACACTAGGCTTGACAAATTATAAATTAAGCCCTTCAAAGGAATGCAGGTCTGGGAGTTTTAGAAGACTTGCTATCTCTCCAGAGAATGGACTGGCTTCTTTGATTACCAAGCATTTCTCCTTTTGTCTCCAGCAGCCCTGACAGTTTCTGAGTAATGATGGTTAAGAAGGGGAAAGCTAACTCTTCTTGAGCGTCCTGAGTGAAAGCAGTGGCTGCCTTCCTGGATGACTCAGGAACCTGTACCTGGAGTCCTGCTGGGCAGATGTGCAAGACTGAGGTCAAGGTCAGAGGTATGCAGCAATAGCTCCCTAGAAGCCTTGGCAAGTCAGCATCTAGAACCTCCACCTGTGGGTGGTGAGGGTCAGCTTGAGGTTTTTGGAGAATCCTAAGAGGATGTGTTTCATCACCCAGGACACCCCCATGGTGATAGGCTCCTTTGAGGCTCCAGGGAGTTTTCAGGGTCTAGGGAGACCCACGTCTCAGTGGGTCTGGCTGGTTGTGAACCACACCTAGCAAAGTGACAACTCCAATGGCCATGTCACAACAGCTGACTACCAGGAAACGTCAGCTCGCATCACCTCTCTCTGCAGCAGATGCCCACCCTGGAGCAAGGGAGATGGACTCTCCACCACACACACTATTGGGAAGTCCAGTGCATCTGTTAACTTAAAAAGAGGGGTCCTCCCTTCAAAACTAGTAATCTGATGCACAAAGAGGGCTTTTGCTTTTAAAACAAACAAACTTATAAGAAAGTCAGTCCAAAAAAAAAAAAAAAAGCCTTGGCAGAGATGAGTCTAGAAAAGAACCGAGGTCACAGGAGGAACCCTATGTCAACACTATGTTCCAGACACGAGCATACAAAACACATATGTGCATCTGTGTTGTGTGTTTGGATATACGGTGATCTCATATTTACTCTCTCACCTGACTCACATACTAGTTTGGAGGCATAAGCAGGCTGGGGATTGACCTGCCTTTTATAAGTAATTAGGGGTGCATTAAGAAGTTGATTAACTGGGAATCCAAGCCTCCTGATTTCAAACCGCGCTTCCCACTCTGAGAAAGAAGCAGATGATAAGTGAGGAGGCCCAGTACTGGGCATGCAGCTTTGGGACCTCAGGTAGAACACTCACCTCTCCCGCTTGCTGTTTCCCAATCTGTGGTTAGAGAAACAGTCCCTAAACCTCCTAGCATGCAAAGGAGTCAATGCCATCAAGCAGCTGTACAGCTTCCAGTTTCTCATCTATCAGGTTGGGAGCTGAGAAGCTGCCACTCCTGACAGCAGGTAAAAAGCTGCACAAATGAGAAGCCAGCAATTTGTCTCCGATTCAACAGAGAAGTGAGGTAACAGGGTGATCCAAACTGGAGAGACAGATGGACAGAATCAGTGCGTCCTAATTCACTCGAGCAGAAGCCAACAAGCAGAAACCAGTGTGAGAACCAGTAATGGCGCAGGAGACCAGATCAGAGACTGACAAGCGGCTGAAGGCACACAGGGACAAGTCAGAGTTCAAAGCTCCATTCAACATCCTCCCCCACACATGCATATCACCTAAGAGTTTTGCCTCCATGGGTGTGGCTCCAGGCCCCCAGAGTGAATGGCAGAGTCTGTGCATGCCTCCAGCTGGAGGAGAAGGAAAGTCAACTCTGCAGTGCAGCTGAGCTCCTGTTCTCCACAAGCCCTGCCTTTAGGAGGTACTATCTTATCAGAGCCCAACTGGCTGGAGCTTTAGCACAATTAATCTACCTTGGTGAAGGGAAATGTCCAGTCCCACTGCCCTCTAGTCATCCTGTCCTTTTTGAAGGGGAAAACCAGGTACAGGTGAGGTACAGGCTCACCAGAGACAGAGATCTTCTCATGGGGCTACAGGCAGCCTGCACTGACCCCAAGGCATACCCATGCATCTTGCCCTGTGCTTACTGAAGGGCCCACGTATCGGAGTTCCTAGGATATCAGATCCAACCTTCCAACAACAATGACAACAAAACTCTAAGTGATACTTGAAAGCAAAGACCAAGAATAAACCAGCCAAAGAATGCATGCACAGTTTAAAGAGACTGAACAAGCACCAGAAGCAGAGTCAGTTATGGCAGGAATGTTGGAATTATCAGAGCAGGAATTTGAAGCAACTATGAGTACTATGCCAAGAGCTTTAATGGGGGAAATAGACAAAATACAAGAACAGATGGCCAATACAAACAGAAAGATGAAAATTCCAAGAAAGAACCAAAAAGAAACGCCAGAGATCAAAAACATTACCAACAGGGGGGAAACGTCTTGATGGGTTCATTAATGACTGTATCTAGTGGAGTCAGGATCTTGGAGCTCTAGGATGTGACAGCAAGAGCTGCCTGAACTAAAGAGCCAAGGGGCAAATTCACAACAGAAACATCCAAGAGTTGTGGACCAACTGGCAAAGTTGTAACACACTTGTAATGGGATATCAGAAGGAGAGAACAGACAGCAATAATACCTGAAGCAGAGGTGACTGCCACTCCTGACTAATGTCAAACACAAACCACCGACCCAGGAAGCTCTGAGAGCATCAAGTGGGGAACATATAGGCATATATAGGCATATCACACCCAAACTCTGGAAAGGCAAAGAGAGAGACATCCTGAAAGGAGCCAGAGGAGGAGAGGTACCCACCTACAGGGAATAAAAGTAAGCATGACCTCCAGCATGTGGGCAAGAAGGAGTGAAACGTGGAGAGGAATGCCATCAATAGCATTCTTCCCTCTGTGCAACCACCTGTCCAAAGTGGAGAACAAAATGGATGCTCAGGCAAGAATAACATGGTACCAGCACTTCTGCCTTGGGAGGGATAGTACAAGGGATCTATGTAGACAAAGGAAGAACATCAGAGAATGAGAAAAACAAAGGTAATATTAAACACTTTCATTTCTCTTATTCTTAATAGATCTCATAGATCTATTTGTTCAAGGGGTTGGCACAGTGGCTTAGCATCACATGCCTCTGTCTGCGATGGCAGCAGCCCATATGGACACCAGTTCAAGTCCTGGCTGCTCCACTTCAGATCCAACTTCTTTACGGCCTGGGAAAGCAGCAGAGGCTGTCCCAATCCTTGGTACCCTGTACCTGTGTGGGAGACCTGAAAGAAACTCCTGGATCCCCTGGCTTCAGCTGGCCCAGATTTGGCCATTTCAGCCATTTGGGGAGTGAACCAGCAGATGGAAGATTTCTCTCTCCTTATTTCTCTGTAACTCTGCCTTTTCAATTTAAGTCTTTAAAATTTTTAAAATAATGACAGCAGCAATGTATTTATGTACACTTACCTCTAAGTGAAATACATGACTGTGATACAAGCACAGGAAGAAGGAGTTGGATTAGAAGAATCATTGTTAATATAAGGACTTTGATCCATTTTAAATGAATATTGCAAACTCTAGGGCAAAGCCACACTCTAAAAAAGGAGGTACATTTGATAAGAAATAAAATGGTAGAATGATACATAAATGCTCATGAAAAAAAAAACACAACAATATGGCACAAACAGTATGGGAGGCAAACATAAAGGACAAAAACAACATTCAGAAAATAGTCACAGGACAATCAAGATGGCAGAACAGGGTAAGGACACATTTAAACAGAGAAACATTAGCCAGTATGAAGCAGAGAGGGCACATTCCAGGTAATAGGAGAGGACAGAACAACAGCAGAGCGGCACCTGGAGACTGGCAGGCACAGGAAAGCACCACAGGTGTGGTGCAGCTGTGACCAGTACACTAGTGGCAATCAGTGAGTGGCGATCTGAACTGCACCACCAGCAGCCGGAACTCCAGCAGCAACAACGTGGGAATGGGGCATTCGATAGGCGCTCAGGTGGCGAACTTGGACAAAGAACTGCTCATCTTGCTGGTCTGTTTGACTTGACCAGTAGAGACAGAATGGTAGCCCCAGTCGGGTGGTTCAGGAACAAGGTGGATTTCACAGCCCAGATTGACCCCCTACAGCCAAATTGGGTGACATTTTGTGTAGGGAGACAAAGATTATGGGACAGGACTGTGCTGGGAGTATACTCATTTCTGGCTCAGTGAACTGCAACAATGTGGCATCCTATAGGTTCTGCTCAAGATAGGTCCAGGTAGCCCTTAGACTTGATGGCCAGCAGATCAAGAATTCTAGCAGCGGCACATCATGTGCCATTTTGTATAGTGTGGCAAAAACTTTAAGACTGCAGGGACAATAGTGAGTTACACATACACTGAGCTGGGAGTAAGCTCACTGAGTTCATTGCATTGCACTGGTACCACAGGGACAATACTGACTTCAGCCTTGTATGGGTCAAAATAGGTCCGTGTGGCTCTCAGACTTACTAACAGTCAACTGGTTCTGGCAAGATCAACACCACCAACAACCTAGCAATATAGGACTCCTGGTGTATCCCTAAATTGGGAATCACTTCAATCAGAAGTGGAAGAAAGGTTGCACAGGTAACGGTATAGCCTCAGCATGGTATCACAGCAGGCAGAGTGGAGAGCCAGGAGCTGGGGCTACAGAGACCATGGTAGAAGCATAACATAAGAACACAGACCTGGAAATCGCTGGAGAGAGTGGCACAAGTGACTGAAAACAAAGAGTCATATACCAACCACAATAAGTAAAATCGAATTGTAGACATGCGGGTGATACACCTTAGAAATCTATCCCAAGGAGAAGAATCTGATAATCAGAAGTACAATGACCAAGAGTAAAAGAAGAGACACAGGCACAACGAATATTACTGAAGACCCCTCTGCAAGGAAGCAAAGGCCTTTTGCCAACCTCAGAGTTCACTGAGGAAGACATTGAGAAAATGGGGAATACAGAATTCAAAAACACTTGTTATAAAGCTTCTTATCAACAGTGAGAAACACATAGTACAGGAGTTCAAGGAATTTAAGGAATATGTCACACTAGAAATGAGTCAAATGAAAGCTGATATATATCAGAAATAAAGAATACAGTGGAACAAATTAAAAGTATAATGGAGAGTCTCCAAAATAGAATGAATGAAGCCTAAGAAAGACTCTCAGAATTGGAAGATATTTCCTGTCATTGGACAGGGGGGTGGGGGAGAAGCTGCAAGCAAAACTGAGTCAAGCTAAAAAAAAAAAAAGTAGTCAAGAAATGAAAAACACTATTAAAAGGCCAAATATAAGAGTTATGGGAGTTCCAGAGGTGCAGAAAGAGAAGCTGGATTTAAAAATGTATTTAATGAAATAATAAGGGAAAATTTCCCTAATCTAGAGAAAGAATTGGGAAACAACATCCAGGAAAGGCACAGCACTCCCAACAGGGTTGAACAAAAGCAATCTTCACAATGACACATGATAATCAAGCTCTCTTCAATCGAACATAAGGAAACAATTCTTAAATGTGCATGTGAAAAACAAAACAAAACAATTACATACAGAGGAATGCCAGATAAATTCACAGGAGACCTCTCACAGCAAACTCTACAGACCAGAAGAGAATGGAGTGACATATTCCTGGTTCTAAAAGTAAAAAATTGTTGGCCCAGGATAACATACCCAGCAAAGCTTTCCTTTGTCTTTGAAAGTGAAATAAAATTCTTCCACAGTAAAGAAAAGTTAAAAGAATATGCCTCTTTTCCAAATCTGCCCCACAAATGATACTTCAAGATATTCTTTTGAGAAGAGGAATAGCACCTACCAAAAACAAAGGCAAACGGGAAGAACATCCCAGTAAAATGACAACAGAAGACTAAATCAATGAACAACCCATTCCTAAAATGACCGGATCAAATTACCACCTATTCATATTAACTCTGAATATAAATGGCTTAAACTCATCAATCAAACGTCATAGGATTAGTAGGCTAGATTAAAAAACAAAACTCATCTATTTGTTACCTACAGGAGATGTATTTCACCAACATAGATCAGCAGAAACTATTCCATGGATTTTGATTTTTTTTTAGTCTCATCTCTTCAAAACTCTATTATTAAAGTTTTTACTGACTCATAGATCATATAGTAGCATCATTTTCTTCAAGAAGCTTCTGGATTTTCTTTTTCATTTATTCAGCAACACACTGGTTTCAGTAGCATGCTATTTAACTTCATGGTGCTGCAAATTTCTTTTTCTCTTCCTGTTGTTGATTTTGTAGTGTATAGTAACTGTGTAATGGAGATTATCATATCCAGATATGAGGTTACAATGCAGTGTGCACCTCTACTTTCAGATCAAAGATAGACTCCCAATGAAACTGTTTACTATATCTTGATCTTAGGAAGCTGGACTCTCTGCTATTGTTCGTGCCCGCAATGATGGACATATGACTGTGTAACAAGAACTATACTATAGTAATAATACAGGGGAACTCAGTGGGGTTTAGGGGATTTGAGGAAAGGGTAAAGGAAATCCCAGGACCTAGGGAACTATACCATAAAATGATAATAATAATAAAAGAAATAAAAAAGAAAAGTCACAAATATGATAGCTATTAATCTAGCCATATTAAAGTCATTTTAGATGCCTGCCAACAGTATAAAGATGGCAATTAAAACAGAGTGACAGTGTAGATAAAAAAGCTATATTGTCTAAAAGAAACCCACTATAAATATATAGATACATACTGAATTGAAATAAAGGGATAGATAAAGCTATGCCATGCTAACTGTAACCTGAAGAAAGCAGAAGCAGACATGTTAATTTCAGACAGCAAACATCTGCTCATCGGAGAATTATTAAAGATGAAGAGGGTATTACAAGGTGGTAAAGAGCTCACTTTTCCTAGAAGGCATAGAATCCTCAATGTGTAAGCATTGTTAACAGCAGAGTGTCACAATATGACAGGCAAAAACCGTGGAGACCCAAATACAAAGAGCTGAGTCTACCAATTGTAGCTGGAGGTGTCAACTCTTCTCTTTTAAAGACGAACAGACCTGGCAGGCAGGAAGTCAGTGAGGACACAGTTGACCTCAACAACACTGTAACCACCTAGGTATACCTGACATATACAGAAGACTTCAACAGCAGCTCACATGGGGCCCTCACTAAGACAAAACACACTCTGAGTCATAAGAAGTTGAAAAGAAATCATATAGCGTCTACTCTCAGACTACGATGGAATGAACTCAATCAATATCAGGAAGACAGCTGGAAAAATCCTGCAAACATTCAGAGACTGAACAACACAATTCCAAGGAACTCATAGCCAAGAAGGAACCTCAGAAGTTTAAAAATATATATTTTTAAACATTTAAAAATTTTTATTGGAAAGGCAGATATCCAGAGAGAAGGAGAGACAAAAAAATCTTGCATCCACTGGTTCACTTCCCAATTGGCCACAATGGCTGGAGCTAAACCAATCTGAAGCCAAGAGCAGGAACTTCCTCCAGGTCTCCTATGTGGGTGCAGGGTCCCAAGGCTTTGGGCAATCCCCCACTGCTGCTTTCCTAGGCCACAAGGAGGGAGCTAGATGGGAAATGGAGTAGCCAGGACAAGAACCAGTACTTATATGGGATTCCAGCACATACAACGTGAGGATTTTAGCCATTAGGTTATTCTGTCAAGCCTGAAGTTTAAAAATATTTTGAATTAGATGCAGCTAATAATACAGTGCATTAATACTCTTGGGATGCAGGAACCAGCCTTGTGACATGGAGAGTGAAGCTGCCTGCAGTGCCAGCATCCTATATGTGTACACTGGTTCATACGCCAGCAGCTCCATTTCCAGTCTAGCTCACCAAAATAGACTGCGAAGAAGCAGTGGAAGATGGCCTGAGTGCCTGTCTCCCCTGTGCAAGACCTGGAGCAAGCTCCTGATTCCTGGGTTTGGTCTGACTTTGCCTTGGTAATTGCAGCCACTTGGGAAATGAGTTCCCCTCATCTTTCCCTCTCTCCATAGCTGTTTTAAATAAATAAATGTTTAATAGAAAAATGTGGGATGCATCAGAAGTAGCACTTAAGGGAAATTTATCACACTGAATGCACACTTGTCTATCAGACAAGGAGTCTCCAGCAGGTGGTTCACAGCAATACCTGACAACCACAATGATGGTGACAGGGAGGATGGTACCAGACACTCAGTCCCAGAGAAAATTTGGGCAATTTGATTGTCATTTTTAATAAAATGTGTTGTTTCCAAAACCTGGCTATTAAAAAGTAAAAATGAAAAGAACTGCTATATATCTAATTATGATAGGGATTTCCTTTGAATTCTAGTAGGAAGCACAGGGAAACTGGCAAATACTTCCATAAAAGCTGGTCAGATTCCAACTGCACTGACTGTCCGGAGGTCAGCGTGAGTGTGCACTCACCAGCTGTGAGGTGTGATGCCAACTAGAAACTCACTTGGGTGTTGACAATGGTCACGTTCTGGAACCCACAAGTGTTCTACGACTAACCCTTTGTAGACATTTTATCGTTTATTTAATAAGCAACTCATTTAACAATAAAAATAATAAATATTCTCTTTAGGTTACTTCCATCTTTGTTTTTACAAGCATACAAATATGTAAGATTTGTCTAAATACTATGACAAAGACTGCTAAGAATCTAAATGCTCAATAGGGAAATCTCAATTAAATACAAAATTTGGCATTCATTACAAAGAATTAGCAAAACCATCTAAAAGTTGATAGAGAAAGAACACTAAATGAAAACAAGCAGGGTACATTGTATATGTATGAAGATTATAGCTTTGGAAGTACATTTATGCAACAAACCAAAGAGGAGTTGGGAAACCAGAAGAGCAGATACGGCAGAGTATGACCATTTGAGGTTATTTTCATTATGACTAGGGTGCTGTTAGTGCAAATAAAAGGAAAGAAACACTCCACCTAATAGACTAATGATGCAGCACTTTCTAGGGACAAAATGGTGACAGAAGCCAAGGTGCAGCATTGAGTTGACTCCAGACTTACCTGCAAGCTGTGCAGTCACGGCTTGGAATGGCAGTTTCCGGAACATGTCTACCAGGGGCTGCACTTTCCTTACATTGACCAGTTCGTGCTTGCCGTAGTCCAGCTCATACACAGATACCAGTCCATTGGTCAGGATTCCTTTTAGAAGCACCCTGTGCCACCTGGACGATCGTTGTTGAAAAGGAAGGAAGACAATGTATAGTCAGTCAACACCTGCTCTAAGAAGAGGCAACCTTTTAAAATAAAGATGGAGGCAAACAAACATTATCGAAACATAAAGCTACACTGTCCTCAGCCTTTTAAAGTCTTGCTGTTTTCTTTTTCCAAAGGCTGACTATTCTCTGCTTTGCCCCCCACCCCCATCCTCAATTGGTTAAGGAGTTGCTCATTCAAGAGACTTTTCTGGGCTTGCTGGAGATGGTGAAGGAAATTGGAGCACCTAACCATCTAATCACCTAGACCTCTAACCATCCTCGCACAGAAGCTATGGAGCATGAGCAGGACAGGACCAGGGGAGCCTGCCACCCTGAGGAGGCAGAGGCTAGCTGTGTGTTTGGTACATGGTACAGGTTTAAATGGTGGAAAGGGAGAGACAGGCTGGCCAGCTGGGGCTAAAAACATGCTTTGGAAGCACAGAAGATTCGAGAGGTGTGGTGGCTGAGAGCAAACACCCAGGATGGCTAGTGGGTAGAATACTGAGAAGCGTGGTAGAGAAAGTCAGGCTGGGAAGATAGCCTGAGGAAGGATCACAATATGTTTTGAATTGAAGGTTGACAATTTTGATTATGCCAGCCAAAACACACACACACACACACACACACACACACACACACACACACACACACACACACACACACACCAGCAAACACACAAAATCCAACCCATGACTTAAAACAGAGAACCTGGACAGAAGGGCAGGAGCAGACAGGGGAAGAGGAAAAGCATGGTGTAGGTACCAGGGAGAGATGCACATGGATACACACTTTCCTACTTGGGCCTATAGCAACAGCCTTCAAGCGCGAAAAACCAAGGCTTCAAGGTTAAGGCACAGAACACAGCCTCCACAGTCTCAGTGACATGACTGGAAGGTCTTACTACACCCAAGGAAGATAACTACCTGTAACAGGTCAAAGGAGAGCAACTACGGAGCTGGACTCTGCCGCAGAAATGGAGCAAGGGACTGAGCAGTGTGAGTGTGCTGCCCACAGATCCAAGGCCAAGCCATGGTGAGGCAGGCAGATGGTGGCACCACTACTCAAAGGTGGCCCAGCTGCTGGCACGTGGCTGACAACAGCCTGGGTCAAGGACCTAGTTGTCTTTGATCAAGTCTGCTCCCCTTGTGGGAGTGAGCTATGTGAACAAAGTAATCAAGGATTCAAACATTTATGTTCACCACAGTTTCCCAGGCCCCTGGTGAAAAGGTGGCTGAGACCCTCTGTCACATGAAGACTGCTCACAGCATAACCACATCCCCTGGAATAATAGTGAATCAAGCATATAAATATGCCTATAAAGAGCTGAAAGAAACAATACCACAAGGGTTAGGTCTGGGAGGTTGATGTTAATTTCTCACCTCTTTTTTTTTTGACAGGTAAAAACAGAGAAGGCGATGGGGGAGGGGGTGGAGAGGAGGAGAGAGGGGTTGGAGAGCCAGGAGCCAGGAACTCAGTCCAGGACTACCATGTGAGTGGCAGGGGCTCAAGTACTTCAGCCACCAGCAGCTGCCATCCAGGGTGCACGTTAGCAGAAAGCTGGAATCAGGGCTGGAGTCAGGATTTGAACCCAACAACTTGGACACTGGATATGAGTGATGTCCCAATCAGCGTCTTAGAGATCGAATTTCTGCTGCCCTGATTCTAATATCTTATTCTTATTTTCTAAAATCTCCACAACAGACATTTAATTTTTTAAAATAAGGGGTTTGGGGGAATGTGAGCATTTTCTGAATAAAAAATATTTTGCTAATTTAAAAATAGAAAAAAGCACTCAAGCCTTCATGTTAGGTATATCAGCTTTAACAGGAATATGGTTTCTATACTTCTGAATAAGTGGCATAATTTTAAATATTAGAAAGCTGCACAATGCATTGGTCTAGTTTCCTGATCACACTCCCGAGGTACGCAGTGTGGGTTCCCCCATACCCGTGTTTCTGAGGAGGTGACCTACTTATTGTCCACTTTGGCCGCATACACTTGGTCTTTCTCCACTGCGACGTGGCGCTCCTCGGACACGCTGTAGTACAGAATCATCTCTTCCATCAGGACCTCCAGCTTGTGAATCTCCTGCCAGGGCTGGATGACGAAGTAGCCTGGGTGACAAGCCACAGGCACATACACATCCATGTGTTCACCGGGCTTGGACAGGTCCACGGGCGGCGGCAGCTCCTCCGCCGAGAAGGGGCTGGTGCACTCCACCACGGACTTCTTGATAATGTCCACCAGGTTCTTTTGGAAACTCTCGCCTGTGTTGCCTGGGGTGGGCAGGTTGCCATTCCTGCTGCTGGGAATGCTGGCCGTGCTGGACATGGTGCTCAGGAACACGTCCTTCTGGTGCTTCCAAAGGTCTGCATTTGTGATCTGGCGGTTAATGCTGCGGTGAGGGTCGGGGAAGTTCTTGGGAGTGAATAAATAGACATGAGCGATCCCTCTGGCCTCATCCACTTTGGTGACCTGTGCAAAACCCAAGGGGCAATTCAAGAAATTCAAGCTCCATTTTTTTGAAAACAATTTTAAACTAATCTATTTTATCTCTTTAATAACATATCTATTTTTCTTCTGAGGAATAAGATTACTATACTACAAAAGAAAACAAAAATCTATTCATCCATCCATCTATCTATTTAGCTGTCTATCCACCTAACAGAAAGAGGGAGAGAGGGACAGAGCTCATGAACTTCCATTCTCTTGCCTGTTATGGCCTGTTACGGCTGGGACTGTGCTGAGCTCAAGTCAAGAGCAGGAACTAAACTCAGGTCTCCCACCTATTGTCTCCCAGAGTCTGCACTGGCAGTAAGCTGGATTTGATGAGCTTTAGGAATCAAACCAGTAACCTAACTGCTAGGTCAAACGTCTACCACTTCACATTAAATTCTGAAGAGCAGTTATAATATTAACCTAAACACTGAAATTTTGTATTTTGTGGGGAAAAAAAAACTCACTCACTAAAATCCATGTTATTTAATGTAAGGCGAATCATCCAACAAACAGAGTTCTAAATACAAACAGTCAGAAGACAGTGACAACCTTATGGAAATGAAAAACTTACTAGCCCTGAAATCTCCAAGAAGACCTCAGAACTTTTTGTATATTATTATCATGTGAGAAAAAAGCAGTCAGCCATTTCTATCAATGGCATTTCCCAACATTGAAAAGCAGAAGAAACAGTGTGATGAACCCTCACATGCATATTACTCAGCTTTGACAAGTGACTCCAATGATGACCCGAGACTCTCTGAACCCTCTGCAGGGGGCTAGGGACCCTCAGTCCAGCGTGGGATGGGGAAAGCTCTGACACCCATCAGACCCTTGGGACCCAGGCCCCCTGTTGGTCCTGTTTGTGTCTTCACCCCTCTCTGCTCTCTGCTTACCCAATTACACCAGGGCAGAGGGCCCTGCACACAGGATAGGGAGAAGTGCATCCGTGAACAGGTGAAAGTTACAGCTGTGCACTTTACCCAGCAGACCTCGTGACCACCCAGTGCCCTCTGCCCTTCCAGCCTCACACTGTCTGGGACTCTCATGTGGCCCTAATGGGGCTGTGCTGCTGTGTGTCCCGAAGGCTGTTCTTGTCAGCTCCCCTGGGTAACCCTGGGAACTGCCAAAAGGAGACATCTCAAGCCAGGAATCCCCTTTTTCAGATAGGGCTGGGAAGGAAACGTAGGAACATGGGTGGAAGGAGAGGCAGGCCTACGCAAGGCAATCATCTCCAGACTTCAAAACTAAAACCTTCAAAAAAAACCCTTCCTCCAGCAAGACAAGTGATGCACCTAAACAGCACTCTGAAGCACCTAATGAAACACAGACTGCCAGCTCTGTATTTGTGATACAGAAGTGCCATCTCCAACACGCACCATGACAAGGTATTTAACTGTGCCAACATACTGGCTTTAGATGCTGCTCAAGGAGTAGCTGGGGAAAAACCCAAATTCATTATCCTGCCACACTGTGTCACCGTGTTATCCACCCCAGACGACTAGACAGATTGGAAAATCAAGGCTCGCCAGAATGATTCGGAGATATGTATAAGGGTGCCTCTCAAGGACGCCTCATTGCTCATGTTTATATAAATTGACACCACTGCGTTAGTTAGCAAAGAGAAACCATCCTACGTCTGTCTCTATTCCTGGAAGCATGAGCCAGGTTTTTGCTTGGAAGCTGCAAAAGTGCAGAAAAATAAGCAAGACAGAGCTAGTGAGACAATGAAAGCAATTTAAAACAAACTGCAGGGGAAAAGGCAAAAACCAACATTATGGGGGGAAGGGAAGATATAAAAGGGTTATTTAAAAGATCCTTATGAAGATGGACATGGTCCCTTGGCAGGGACTTGGTTCCTTTGGGCGAGCCACAACAGGAGCAGAGGACTCTAGGCTACCTTGTTAATGTTGGAAACATCTATTTAAAGGACCTAAATACCACACTGGAGATATAGTATAACTTTTGAAATAATTTAAAAAAAGCAATGAAACCATGAAATATCTACAGTTACTCACGTATTCCATGTCATGAACATGCACAGTGTCAGGTGTGAACTCACCTTAATGCTACAGTCCGAGCAATTCAAGACGGAATCTCTCAGCCAGAGCACAGCGTCGGGTGTCCACATGCCCATTGACTGTGGGATATCCGCTAAGCAGCACTTGATAGCCTGGAAAGTGGGGAAATGAACACAACAGTTCAAAACATTCATTTCAAAGTCATGTCAGTACTAACTCTGCTGCGGGTCAGGTGTTGCTAAGATGGACAGCACAGCGTAGCCATAGCAGTGGCCGAGGGCGATCGCTACAGCTCTCGGGCTGAGCACCTGTTATGTTCTCGGCTCTCCTTCTGTAACTGCCCCATCTCGATTTCTGTGCCGAGCCAGGTCCTGCCTGTGTTCCCCAGCCTGTGGTGCCCCTGGTAGCCTCCTTCTCCAGGTGGTGTGGTGCCTCCGAGATCAAACGTGTAGAGCACAATGCAGGAGACAGGGCCTTCCTTCTATGTATCACTTTGAAAACCAAGGTGGTGTTTCAGAGGAGGCCGATTTGTGGTGCAAAAAGCATTTCTAGAGGCCCAGAAGCTTCACACAGCACTTCCCAAGATCCTTGCAGGTGCTGGGCTCTCATGATCACTACATTTGTTAAGAAACTGTGACCGGAAAACCAAGGAGGGCGAGACACTCCAACACCCACGGTTAGACCTGGGAGGCACACTTGCCCAGCACTCTTCCCCTCCTGCTGCCTCTCTCACATCCCTGAATGGCAATCACTGGGGGCAAAGGTGACCTCCGGGGCATCCTCTAGCCTCACAGAAGCCCTTGAATTGGTGGAGGCAATTTCATGAAGGAGATAATACCTACTTCCAGGATTCCTACTTTCTTCCCTGGGCCCTTCCTCCCTGACCTGTATTCTCTATGCTGCAGACTGATGTGATCACTCAGAGGGACATTGCACCCTCTGATCCCTGCAGTGGCTGGGCAGGCAGTGGGGTGGGGAGATGAAGCAGGGGTACTTGGGAGGGCAGAAGGCCAGGAAGACACTGGGAACAGTGTCCCACAAGGTACGGTGCAATGATGCTGGATTTTTTCTTGGTCAAAAAGAAATACTGTGTGATGGGATTTTAACGTGAAGTTTTCTGAATTTTTAAATCCTAGCAACCAGTTTACATGTTTAAAACACTGTGAGAGCCAAGAGCCCAAATTCGGTATTTATGGGTCAGCTCTGGCAGACCAGTAGTTGTGTTCCTCTGGCTTAGATCTCTTGGGAAGAGTGCATTAGCCCGAGGCTCACACCAGTTGGCCTTCAGCGTTTCCACAACCCAGAGTCTGAATATCTATGAACAATGTTGTGCACCTGTTTATGCGATGACTTAAGGAAGGTACTGTGGTATGACTTGCAGACAATCAGAGCAGGGCCTGACCCTTCCCTCCTGACCCCTGTTTGCTCCAGACTGTGCAAGGAGTACGGCCCCAGATGGATGATCCAAAAGCAGCTGTGAGTGACAGCACTAACAGTCAGTCATTTCAATCATTATGGCAACGTTACCAGTAAACATATTTTAAAAATAGGCTTGAATACCAGTTAGACAGCTTCTCTGTTATTGCTAGAAAAGGCAATAGTGACTGGAGTGACTGGAGTGAGAGAAATGCTAAATACTAGCTAATTATGGACAACTATGCTTTGTTCACTGTGTTGACAGTGGGAGAAGTATTCTGGAAAATATTAGTCTTTTTTTTAGAGAAAAAATTTCATACAGAATATATAGTCTTAAAAGTGATACATTTTGTTCTTTTCAAGATTTATTTATTTACTTGAAAGGCAGAGGAGCAAAGAGAGAAAGGGAGAGGGAAAGAGAGAGAGAGAGATATCTTTCATTCACTGTTTCATTCCTCAAATGGCTACAACAGCTAGGGCTAGGCCAGACTACAATCAGAAGCCTATGTCTCCATCTGGGTCTTCCACATGAGTGAGGGGGGCCCAAGCACTTGGGCCATCTTCCTCTGCTTTTCCAGGCATATCAGCAGGGAGCTGAATCAGAGGTGGAGCAGCTGGGACCAGCACCCAGAAGGGACACCAGCATCTTAGACAGTGGCAATACCCACTATGTCACAACGGTTCTTAGTCATTTTGGTTGAGTCAAAATAATTCAATATCTTTAACTGGAAGTTTATCAACAGAAGGAAAGAGAGGCTGATGCTATCTTTTTACTGAAATGATTGGGGGAAAGTCATATGAGAAAATGATTAACGAGAAGCAGATACCCAAAGAGTCTGGTAAGCTAACTGAGCTGTAATCTTGGGGTATCAGCATGTCATATAATCTCCTGGAACCAGGCAGGAGTTGGTGCTGCCTCTGATTATTAAAATGACACCTCCAGTTGCTCAGCACAGCCTAACGATTTGATATACTCAAAAACACACATCCAGCAAACAATATTCCATACGTGCCACTGGTTTTATTGCCTGAGTCAGCCACCTGTTACTTCTGAAAACCAGTTACCAATCACATTTTCTTGTAAACCAGGACTTTGGTCATTAGAAATCTGAGAAAAAAAAGATAAAAGCCAAGAGGATCCTCCCAGCGTGGTTGGGAACACGACCACCTGCGGGGGTGGGGGGTGGCCTATGGCCACAGCCTACCTGGGGTGGAATTGCAATCATCTCCTGCAGGAATCGAGGAGGAATTTCCCTGAGTTCCGACACTTTCACAGATGTCACGGTGCCAGAGTCCAAGAACTGAACATCAAGAGCCCGGCTGCTGTGGACATTCGTGATCTGAAATGAGATGGGTGTTGGTAAAGCCAATGACATTTCCGGAAGATCAGGGCATTTCTGCACAGTCACCTTTATTATTATTATTATTATTACTGTGTGCTACAAACAACACTATCCATGCTGGCTAAAACCAGCCCTTAACATGAATGTTTTGAATGTTCTTACAGAAACTGAGTTGATTTCAACATGTAGGTGTTCATTCATTGAACAGGGAATATTCCAGTAAGTCCATCATCATCGGTCAAGTTCATAAGTAAAGCAATATTCACTACTTCTTCAATCCCAGAACATGACTGCAGAGAGGTTTTTAAAAAGTTCAAGTTGACAACTCAAAAACGGAAAACCGTGTTGTGAGTCAAAATAGTAATTACCTTGTTATTGTTTGGGTAACTGTCAAGAACAAATGCATCATCTAAACACGGGGCCTGTTTGTCATTAACCATTGCTGTCTCCCTCCCTAATTTTCTATGTCTCTCTCGCTCAAATATTTATTTATTTATTTGAAAAACAGAGTTACAGAGAAAGGGAAGAGGAGGGATGGAGGGAGCGAGGGAGGGGAGAGAGAGAGAGAGAATCAGTCTTCCATCTACTGGTTCACTCCTCAAACTGCTGTCAACTGCTAAGGCTTGACTAGGTTGAAACCAGGAGCTTCTTCCAGGTTTCCCATGAGGATGCAGGTGCCCGGGTACTTGGGCCATCCTCCGCTGCTTTTCTAGCAGGGAGCTGAATCTGAAGTAGAGCAGCCAGGACTTGAACCAGCATCTATATGGGATGCCAGCATTGTAGGCAGTGGCATAATGTGCAGCCCACACATATGCCACATAATGTACTGCCCCACAGCACCAGTCCCTCCACAAATCTCTGAGAGGACGAATACTCAAACATTCTGTCCATCTCAGAGGTAGACCAAGATACAATGTGCTAGTCAAGAATACTAGGTATTTGTTTAGGGTATTTGGGCATATATAGAAGGATTTTTGTTAAAACCTAAAACGCACAAACTGGATTTAAACATGAAAACATTCAAGTTAAGAGACATTTTACAAAATCCTGCAACTCTTCAAAAAGTCACGAGGAACAAAGATGGAGTGGGCCAGGCTAGAGGATCCTCAGAGGGGACTGTGCGAGATCCTGAAGTGGGCAGACGTCTGTGGAACAGCCTGGGAACTGCTGGGGGCTCTGCCAGCTGGTGAGGCCTTGCTGCTCACCTCCAGATTTGATAATGGAACAGAGTCTGATGGGGAAGATGAGGAGAGGGCAATTGTGGGACTTCTATAGGCTACTTTTTATTTTTTTCGAACTTTTTAAAAAGTTTAACATTAATTCAACTTAAAAAGTGGAAAGATAAATATCTGTATGCCAGAACCTGAACAGAACAGGCGCCCAAGAACTAAATAGTGCCACACTCTTTTCAACAAAATGTGTTTCTGAAGTTTAAAGCTAAGCACACACTCTTGGTCTGACAGTAACGACATTAATGACAAGAACTGTTGCTCCCATTAAAGTATATATGGCCAAGCTCTGCTTATATCAAGAACAAAATCACTATAATCAGGGTGTCAAAATGTTGTTGTGCTACAATAAAAAAAATCAACACAGTGGTGGTAAGCTTCCTAGAGTTGAGCTCTTTGAGAATCTTACAGAAATGAAGCACCACAGCCCCGAAAAACATAAAACTCACACACACGCAGACACACAGACCCCGCATATAACCCTACCAGGGTTCAGGAACCAGCTCCCCCTCCCCAAAATCCTTGCATCCAGGTAAAGAACCTAAGCATCACAGAAAAGACAGAAAAAGAATCAGAGAAAATCAAGGCAAGAGCAGGAGTGTGGAGGGAAGGTTAGGGAAGAAGGGAGGGGAGGAGGAATGAGAAATCACATGAATCCTAACTGGCCTTTCACATAACATGCAAATATACAACAAAGCTCAACACAGCTCCTTGTAAATCCAGAACTGAGCAGTGGATTGCGCCACCAAGGTGCACTAGGCAGCAGACACGGGGCCCTGGACCAGGTAGGGGACAGGAGGGCCCCGAGACTCCCATGGCTATCGACCCAAGAGAAGGGAGAGCAAGCAGGTGGGGAAGAAGCGCAGTCCCTGTGTCCAGCAACTCCACTGCACCCATGGCACCTGTAGAACAACCTCCTCCAGTCCCCAGTCCAGACTCCTTCACTTCTTGCTGGGCACATTTATGCACTTGGATTTCTGTTATTTCTCTTACATGTTGAAAGCATGCAGCAGAAGCAGGTGTGTGCAGACACAAGTCTAGTGAGAATAGGAACAAGTCCACAACCACCAGATCACCAGGGGTGGCAATGCTCCCCACAGGGGATCCAAACAATCCCACAGTCGGGTTCCAGGTTATAACATGGTCTGGTTCCAGGTTATAATTTGGTCAGGTTCCAGGTTATAATATAGTCGGGTTCCAGGTTATAACATGATAGTGAGTCCATGGATGCTGTTCCCTTTCAATTATTACTTAAAAAAAAAAGATTTATTTTTTAAATTAGAAAGTCAGCTATACAGAGAGAAGGAAAAGACAAGAAAGAAAGATCTTCTGTACACCGATTCACTCCCCAAGTAGCCACAATGGCTGGAGCTGAGCCAATCTGAAGCCAGGAGCCTAGAGCATCCTCCAGGTCTCCCATGCAGGTATAGTGTCCCAGAGCCTTGTGCCATCCTGGACTGCCTTCCCAGGCCACAAGCAGGGAGCTGGATGGGAAGCAAGGCAGACAGGATTAGAACCAGCGTCCACATGGGATCCTGGAGTGCAAGGCAAGGACTTTAGCCACTAGGCTACTGTGTTGGGCCCTGATTATTACTTTTAAAAGAGCTGATTTACAATAATTAAAAGATGTCAAGTGACTGTTTTACCTCCACGCGCAGCCATTTTCCTTTGCAGTGGAAGAGGCAGATCTTCCCGCAGAAGGGCAACGAGATAAAGTACTCCGAGGTCACATGCTGCAGGTCAGAAATGCATGGCACTCGTTAGTCCTCCTAGCTGCCACTGCTGGGCACAAGGACCTCTGGGGCCCATGCTGACTGCTCAACTACTTGTCACCTGACTTTCTGCTTAGAGAAGTGCAAATAAACCTGCCATATGACCCAGCTATCCCACTCCTAGGAGTATATCAAAGGAAATTAAATCTACATATGAAAAGGGATCCATAATTCTATATTTGCAGCAGCACAATCTACAATAGCAGACACACGTAAACAACCCAGATCTTCACCCACAGAGGAGTAGTTAAAGAAACTAAGGAATACTAACTGCTTCTCTTTTAAAGCTCTGGAGTCTGAGGCTCCTACCCACCCACCCAGGCATTCTACCCCAACTACTCAGATTCACACTGAAGCAATCAGGGAGCCTCTCCTGCTTGCACCTAGAGGGCTAATGCTAGAGCGGGGACTGGGGGTGGGCATGATGCCGTCCTGTACCTTGCAGTGGAAGTAGTCCTCTATCTTATGCAGCAAGTCAGTGAGCTTGCTCAGACCCTTGCAAGGCACCTGGCAGTAGAGGGTTCCATCCGAGCAAATGTTTGTCACCTTGACGTTGGTGTACATAGCGTCCACCTGCAAAGGACACACTTGAGAACAGATACCTTTCCCCATCTCAGGGATTCTTCCCAGAGCCTTCATTAAAAGTCTCCCCATTAAATTTTTCTGTGTGAGAAATCAGGACAGAGTGAAATGAGTAACACAATGAAGTTACACTAAGTTAGTTCCCTCTGTTTCCAAATGAAACAGACATTTTGCAAACGTTACCATGTTCCATTGTCTGAAAGGCTAAAAACGCTCTTTATTTTGGTGCATGCCCCCTCCATCCAGAGGGATGGTTACAGGCACTAGGCTTCTGTGACATCCACAGAAGGCAAGTAAGAACGTATTCCAATGGGCAAATCTGTGACCTGGTGACTGAGACCCTGGTTAAGGTGCCACATCCCACACTGGGGTGCCTGTGTCACCTAGCAGCCTCTGGCTTCCTGCTAATGCAAACCCTGGAGGCAGCAATGATGCCTCAAATGGGTCCCTGTCACCCACAGAGAGACATAAATTGAGTCCCTGGCTTCTGGCTTCAGCCATAACCAAGGACTTTGGGGGTCACCTGAGGAGTCAACAAGCAGATGGGAATTCTCTGAGTCTCTCAAATAAGTAACATTTTAAAAATAATTACTTTCTAATCTTAAAAAATGAATTGATCAGCCTATTTTCTAATTATCCACAGGTCACAGTAAATTTCAGTAATTTTAAAGACTATGATCAAAGATTTAATTTTAGCTATTTTTAGTCAAGTCATAAAAACAATCCAGTTTTACTTTACTTATTATAATATATTGTTATAACAAATGTTATGCTTCCCAATATTTTTAATGAAGTCTTCAAAATGTTTTAAAATAATTTTAATTTTCAATGTCTTATCCTTTTTTAAGGTTGGTCTATTTATTTATTTGAAAGGTGGGGAGAGAAAAAAAGAGGGGGAAAGAGAGGGAGAGAGGGGGGAGGGAGAGGGGGAGAGGCAAGAAGAGGGGAGAAAGGGAAAGAGGAGAGGAGAGAGGGGAAGGGGGAGGGAGAGGTTCACTTCCCAAATGCCTGCAACAGCCAGGCCTGGCCAGCCAAAGTCAGGGGCAGGGAACTCCACCTGTGTCCTGGTCTCCCATGTGGACGGCACATCCTCAGCCATCCCCCAGGGTGCAGGAAGGCAGAGATCTCTGAACGAAACCAGGCACTATGTTGGGACTTGGGCATCCAAGCAGCAGCTTAATCCACTGCCTCACAAATTCTAAATTTACTGAAACGTTTCCTTCTTTCTGGAAATTTATGTTCACATTTTTAAAAGTGTCTAAGCTAATAATAAACATCTTCATGTACCTAATTTTCCCTTCTTTGTTTAAAGACTTATTTGAAAGAATAACAGAGGAAGGAAAAAGAGAGGGAGAAATGGAGGAAAGCAGAGGTGAGAGAGGAAGAGAGAGAGACAATGAACTAGCTTTCATCTCATCTGTTGGTTTACTCCCCAACTAGCCACAGCAGCCAGGGCCGGGCCAGGCCAAAGCCAGGAGCCAGGAGCCACGTTAGAGTTACCTACATGGGTGACAGGGCCCAAATACTTGGACCTTTTTCTGTTGCTTTCCCAGGTACACCAGCAGGGAGTTAGACTGGAAGTGGAGTATCTAGAAGTTAAACTGGCACCACAATATGGAATGCCACTACCACAAAGCAGTGGCTTAACCCACTATGCCATAATACTGGCTCTCAATTTTCCCTTCTTTTGTATTATCTTCCCTTTGCAGAAATTATATATAAAATGAACAGATGCTTTTTGAATAAAATGGGAAAAATTCAATTTTAACACATAGTTACAAATAATGCTTTTGCATCTTTTACCCCCATCCTCCACACATTCCTTTGGTCTCAATAAATATGTTCTCTCTAGCAAATGGTTAGCCTCAAATGACTTTCTCCTGTATAGTATGAGGAGCAGATGATGATGGGGACCCCAGGGGTTGGTACCTGAAGATGAACTTCCAGGGACTTGTCACATGCGGCCTTCAGGCAGGTAGCATTGATGTTGATGTCATCTTCTCCCGAGGTGTCGTACAGTACCACCAGCGGGATTTCAGACTGGTCGAGCACTTCCACCGCGAAGATTTTCCCACAGGTCAAGGACTCAACAACTTTCACCACGTCAGGGTCATCGCTCACCACTTCCAGTCCTGCAAAACATGGCACCTTTACATTCCCTCTCGGGACTGGCTCACTTACTGAGGAAGACATGGGCTACTCTGTTTTGACCACATACTGAAATCTTGACTCTCTCATGAAATTGCTGCATTCTGTGTGTAAGTTCCATTTTACCATTTTCTTTACCTTGCCCATCAGCACTACAGATTTTTAAAAGTAAATGTAGGTGAGCCTCATTTGAATGATATGCTAAGGCAGGTAATCTTAAAACAATAAGAAGAATCGACCAATCACAATTTCTACATTTGAAAAAAACACTTTTCTTTATATACCAATATGTATATATTTTTCTATAGATTCATCCATTTTTTATTGGAAAGGCAGAATCACAGGAGAAGGAGAAGCAAAGAGGAAGATCTTCCATCTGCTACTTCACTCCCCAAGTGACTGAGACAGCCAGAGCTGAGCTGATCTGAAGCCAGGAGCCAGGAGCTTCTTCTGGGTCTTCTCTCATGGGGTGCAGGGTCCCAAAGCTTTGGGCTGTCCTCAACTGCTTTCCCAGGCCACAAACAGGGAGCTGGATGGGAAGTGGAGCAGCTGGGGCATGAACTGGTGCCCATTTGGGATGTGAAGATTCAGCCACTGAGTTATCACACTGGTCTGACCAATTTGTATTGAAAGCCAAAAGTCATATATATACATATAGCTATCAATTGTGTCTGTCAGTCACATAATTGCAGTTTCCTTCCTAAAATTCTATTTTGATTTGTTTCATTTTCTAATTAAAAATACACATCTTATTTTTCTTTTTCATGTAAGAGCATTTATTTGAAAGACAGGAAAACAGAGAGAGAGAGAGATCTCACAATGGTTAGTTCACTCCCAAAATGCCCACAACATCTTGGGCTGATCAGGAGCTTGGAATGTAGTCTGAGTCTCCTATATGGGTGTCAGGAACCCAGCTGCTTGGACCATCACCTGCTGCCACCTGGAGTGTGCACTAGTAGTAAGCTGGAATCGGGAAAGAAGTCAGGACCTGAAGTCAGGCACCCTGGTTACAGGATACCAGTGTCCCAAGTGCCATCTGAACTGCCATGCAGACTACTCCTCCTAAGGTGTTCACTGTCCGGCAGCAATGGACTTGGTGCATGGAGCCGATAATCATACTCTGAACTACTGACTGACAATCAATAGCTGAAGTTTATTAATAGCATCAGTACTGAGGGCCACGTAGAGGAGGGCTTGAGCAATTTATATATCAACAGCAAGAGAAAGTTTACTAGGAAACAATTTGTCTAGCAGGTGCCTTTCCTTGGTCTATTATTTCCTGTTCCCTTGCTTATGAGAGGAAGCACCTCTTTTTGATCCGTTATCTAAACCTGAGGACTAGGGAGTCTCTGACCTGTTCATTTTCATATCAGTATCAACTGCTCCTAGAACATTCCAACAGGATTGTAACTAGCCCAGGCTCCACACTGGCAATGCTTCCCAATGTCCTCTCTTTAACCAACTGTTTTCTTACACATCTAATCAGTTGTCCTCCTACACTAAGGCAATCCATTTTTCTTATAAAATGAACATACATTATTGGAAATTGAGATAATCACTTTCCCTTTTTCTTCACTAGATATTGTAATTAAGTACAATATATATACACACAATTACATGTAATACAATACAGATCATAAAACATTAAAATATCCTAGCATTTTCATGTTGATTCAAAGACCACATTACACATAAAGCTATTTGGATCTGTCATGAAATAACACATTGTAATGCTGCGTCCAGATACCACGTTCACTTTAGTATTGAACCTCCCCAGAGTGCCCTGGTGAGAGCCTTACCTGCCAGCTTACACTTAGTTGCTTGGAACGACAGTGAACAGAACTTGGAATTCAATTTGTATGCTTTGCTCTTTTCAACATTTTCACTAAAACCATAGTCAACATAGCATACCTAATGATAAAACAAACAATTAGGCTCAACACTCTATATCTTCACTTAAAAAAGCAATGTAATTGCAGTGGACGTCTGGCCTGGCCGTGAAGACACCTGCGGCCCAATGCAGCTTCCTGCTGTTGTAGACCTTGGGAAGCAGTGGCAATGGTGCAGATAACTGGGTTCCTGACACCAACACAGGAGACCTGGATGGCATTTCCAGCCCTGGGCTTCAGCCTGGCCTGCCCCCAGCTGGGATCCAGACAACCAGGGTTCTTGGCTGCAGGCCCCAGTCCTCCAGCTCTGCTCTTTATCACCAGGAGGGATGAGGAAAGGTGGCTCAACCCCAAGGCCTTGCTACACCAGTTTCTCAGAAGCCCCGCTGCCTGGTGCCACCAATCAGCTGCCCTGGCTCCCTACCCTCCCCATGAAAATCAGCATCTGTGCCACCTTCTTTCCAGAGTGACACACGCCCACCCACTCCTTAGGCAGCAGTGTTTGTCACAGACAGCATCATTGTTGTGCTATCCTGGGTCAGGCTCTGGGTCCCCAAAGCAACATCTGTAAGGATTGGCCTTTTGTGACGCTTCCTGAGTCGAAGGCATGGGGGTGCTGTGCATGGACAATACGGGGTGCTGCACCAAAGCAGCAGCAACTCCCGCTGCCCCAGGGCTGTGAGGCTCCAGCTCGGCAGGAGGCCCCAAGCCTACTGACCAGAGGTCCTTGTCTGCAGAAACCTGTATGACTTTTCCTTGTTATAGGTCCAGATCCGTAGGAGCCTGGATGCAGATCTTGAGTTTATTTACTTTTTATTTGAGAAACAGAGTGACAGAGTGAAATGGAGGTGGAGTAAGATTGCTTTCAACTGCTGGTTCACTTTCCAATTGACCTAACAGCCAGAGCCAGGAGCCAGGAATGCCTCGTGGGTCTCTCCAGTGGGCGGCAGGGATTTGAGTGCTTGAGCCATCGTCAGCTGCCTCCCATGGTGTGTGTTAACAGGCAGCAGGATTGGGAGCCTTTTAGTTGAAAAGAACTGTATGAAGAAAGCATTCTTTTTGAGAAAAATAAATTAAGAAACCCTATGTTGTTTTTTAGAATAATTAGCGGACTCACACTCCAGGCATCAAGCTCCAGGCCTTTACTGGTTCTCTGGTGCCACCAAGTGGCCACCGGTTTCACAGCGCCTCCTGAGTAGCCAGTACACCAGCAGAGAGGTGTCAGGCCCAGTCAGAGGATGCCCACAGAATCCTGCTTCTCCTACTTAACAAGGATCCACAGTTAGAAAGCAAAGAGAGAAGTGGTGCCTGCTACCAGACAAAGTTCAGCTTCAGATAAACAAGCGGCTGGGGTGTCTTCCTATAAAAGTCGCTCTGCCAACTTCCCTGGGAGGCGGAACAGGATGGACCAGGCACCAGCAGCAACAGCGCAGGTGTCCGCCCATCTGCTGCGAACCATCCTGACACCTGCCCTGGTCTTTCTTGTCTCTGGCCATCCTTACTGCCCTGTGTTCCTCTTCTGCCCACTGCCATCTAGATGTTCAAATGTCCCAGAGCCCAGGCCCCTCTCCTTTGCCAGATGTTCTTTCCCAGGCGGAATGCAACTGCGTGCTGACCCCTGCCAACTCTGATGCAGCTCCAGTATTGCTTCTCCCTGAGCCCCAAATTCCCCACATGCAGTCTGAAAGCTGTTCTCAAATTGAATGGGTCCCCCAGAATTGTTGAGTTTCCCTCATACAGATTCTCCTCCCTAACTTTTCGGTTCCCACACAAATGGCTCCAGTAGCTGTGTCACATCTTGTCTTGTGCTTATCTCCCGCCAGTTCTACCTCCAAACACACCTGGATTCTCCCTTAACCTCTGAGTGCACTACTGCATCCCACTCCAGGCTACCAGCAGCTGACTACGTTTCTGCTCCCCTCCCCACAGTGACACAAGAACGCCTCTGAAAGGCACACGCGAGAGCACATCACCTGCCCATATCCTCCTGGGGGTCCTTTCGGTTATGGAGGGAGCTGGCTGCTCCTGCCGTGCCACTGTAACCTTTTTGGCTGCTCCCCGTGTACCCCTTTACTCGCTGGGATATAATCTTCTGCAGAACAGAGACCCACCTGTCTTGTCATCTGCTCTCCAACAGTGAGATGTGAACTCCAAGTCCACCTGAGGTTCAGGCTAATGTGAGGACTGCGTCTGATCTCACAGCTAAGGAATAAGAGAAGTGATGTGACTTCCCCAAGGCCATAGGGCTAGAAAAGGCAGATCAGACAGAGACTCAGGTCCACCTGATGCCACAGCTTTAGTTCTCAAAACCACAGCAGAGGTCACAGCAGAGGCCCCCAGCAAAGGCCCACTGACAGTGCTGGACAGGCTGGGAGAGAGCTGTGTCGCCCATGGTGGGCATTTCTGCACTGCTCATGTGTCAGGAACAATAAGGTGTGGCTGCTGTCTTCATTGAGAACTCCTAAGGCCTGCAAAACAGCTGAGCTTTACTGAACTTTCTAAGGAGAGCAGGAGAAAAGTGGCCAGGAAACAGAAGTCATCTGGGGACATTTGAGAACAGCTATCCCCTGTCAACCAGAACCCAAGAGGAAGAGGATGTGATCAAGGACATACAGCGGGCAGGATCATGATGAACGCCCAAACCTTCTTGTCTGCTGATCTCTTTCCAGATGTTTCTCAAATAATCAACATATATACCCACCGAATCACCACTAGAGTCAAGGTCTGGAGCATGTCCACTTCCCTCAAAAGATCCCTTCTGTTCTTGCAATTACCCTGCTCCAATTTCTGTCCTGCTCACTGGTCTGGTTCCCATCACTGCATGTGGGTCCATACCTGTCCTCAAGTGTCATTTATTTGGAGCCTCACAGCATTACTCCTCTGTGTCCAGTTTCTTTCACTCTGTACAGTCTGTGGCTTGCCTGTGTATGTGTGTGAGGGACCAAGGGGCAGCCCCTGGAGCTTAGCTAGAGTCCCAGCTGCAGCAGAGGGAGAGGCAGAGGGCACCTCCTCTGACTGGTATTGCTCCCCACCCATCCAGAACACGAGCTCTGGCGAGAGGCTCTCAGAGCCTGGGTCAGGACCACATGGCACCTTTTCCTGCCTCCCTTGTGGCTGCGACTGCACCCAGGGAGGTTTTCTATGTCAACCTGATGGCCACTGACTCAGGAACTAACGGGGTTACACTTTCAGCTCTCCAGGAGGGAACCACACACACAGTTAGCAGAGACAGGACACAGAAGCTGCAGCCGCAGCTGGGAAGGTACGTGTGCACCTGCACAAGGCGAGGACAAGGTGGCACTGCTTGCCTTTATCTTGCTGTCTTCCATGGAGATGACCTGTGCCCGTAACCAGGTGTCCTCCTCTGCGTTGACGGCCAGCAGCTGCCCCACATGCACGGCCTGGACCGGCATGACATTTAGGTTCTTGCTGTAGTACTCCTTCATCTCATCTTCCATCAGCTCCTGGGCGGCAGAATAGTCTTTGCCCACATACCTGGGTTCAAGGAGAAAACACACATGGAGCAGAATGGAGGACAAATTGGTCTGTGTCCATGTGATCCTGCCTTCGTCTCTGCTACCTCTGGCTCCAGCGTCAGATTCAGGTGCATCAGCAGGGAGGGGAACATGCCCTCAGGAAATCTTCATGTCTCAGTGGAAAGCAGCAAAAGGAGGCCATGGCCTGACAGTGCACAACACAGTGACTGCCAGGAAGCCCAGGAGTGAGCAGGCCAAGGGGCAGGAGGGAGGGGCTGTGGGCCATGGCAATACCTCAGGAGGCTGGACCCACTGGGCTGACCCCCAATCATTGTGGATTACTGAGAAGAGCATCTAGTGCATAGCTTTGCCTCACTAAGGCTGGGCCTGATTACTGCAGACTCTGAAAAGCACTGGCATTTTATGAGCTTTAAAATGGCCACCACTACCACCTGCCCACCATTCTTGTGACCATGGCAATGTGCCAAGTCTGGTGGCCTTCAACCCAGCCAACGTCTCTGAACCCGTGTGTTTTGTGGGAGGTGCCTTCTGCCACAGCACCTCTTGGGTGCCTAGACATGCTGCCTGGGGGAGCATGCAGGTGCAGAATAGTGCCTGGTCTTAGAAGGATCTGCCACGTATGGGACAGCAAGATGAGTTTATGACCTAGGGTTAACCTGAAGCCACACATTACCCATGACCCTTGCTAGTTGCCAGCTGCGCTGCTGATAGTGGAAGAGTGCTGAATCTAGGATCCAAACTGACACTGCAAGAAGTTATCTGAGAGAATCCGAAGGCTCTGGACCCACCCCTTCTACTGAAGGCCTTGACCTGGTCCATATCCTGTTCAGCTCTTGGTATCAAGTCAGAAATCATTGAACCGGCCCAACTTGGGGCTCTGTGCATGAGCCCTGACAGTGGCCCTGTGATTACTGGTGACGGACACCAAAGCTTCCCACCAGGTAGGGAGATTCAAGTGAGTCACGTGCCCTCATGTCTACAAGCGGCACTTCAAAATCTGCATGGGACTGCTGCCATGGCTCAACAGGCTAATCCTCTACCTGCAGGTGTCAGAATCCCATATGGGCACCAGTTTGTGTCCCAGCTGCTCCACTTCTGATCCAACTCCCTGCTTATAGTATGGTAAAGGTGTGGAGGATGGCTCAAGTCCTTGGGATCCTGCATCTGCATGGGAGACCCCGAAGAGAGTCCAAGCTTCATATAGGCTCAGCTCTGGCCACTGCAGCCACTTCAAGAGTGAATCAGGGGCCCAGCGTGATACCATAGTGCTTAAAGTCCTCGCCTTGCTCACGCCGGGATCCCATATGAGCACTAGTTCCAGGATTGGCAGCTCCCCTTCCCATCTAGCTCCCTGCTTCTGGCCTGGGAAAGCAGTCAAAGATGGCCCAAATCCTTAGGACCCTGCACCCACGGGGGAGACCTGGAGGAAGTTCCTGGCTCCTGGCTTCAGATCAGTGCAGCCGTTGCAGTCATTTGGGGAGTGAATCATTGGACAGAAGATCTTCCTCTCTGTCTCTCCTCCTCTCTGTATATCTGACTTTGTAATAAAAATAAATCAATCTTTAAAAAAACATGAGTTTAATTTAACATGAAGCATTTGAAATCCAGGCATACATTTTTCCCTAATACTCATCTTCCATATAGTATGGGAGAAACCCCTTTGTGCATCAAAATAAAGCTCATACTTTTAAATCCATCTTTCCCCTAACTTGCTGAAGCACCCTCATTTTTATGAACGTCAATGGAACCCCTCACCTTCAGCAACCCCTATTCAGATCATCAGGCCATGGCTCATCCCAGAGGAAGAGTTTATGGTGGTTGCTGCCTCCAGGTGAAGCAAGAGCCCTCCGAAGCTTCCACAGCTTCTAGTGTGAGGCCAACACTGCAGGTACATTCCTTAACCCACCCGGACTTTCATCAGCCAGGGGAAAGAGCTTTCCTCTGGGGGTCTCCTTCCTTTCCACCAAAGCATTCTCAGTGTTCATGGTGGTTTTTCTTTAGGTCCTTCCTGCTTGGCTGGGATCGCTGGAGTGACAGCCCAGGGTACGGGGCCCTTCCTGGGAGGGGGCTGAAGGGTAGGGAGCCTGGATTCCATTCCACCCTGGCCTGTTCTTCATTGTCCAGCCACAGCCACAGGCTGGGCTGCTGTCCCTGGAGATCCAGGAGACTGTATTTCCTCTCAATTGTGCAGTTTCTCCGAGAGCCTGGGTGCCTGGAGCTCGGCTGTCTGTCAGAGCTGCAGTCAGCACTGGCCGCACAGGTACAGCATTCCTCCCAGACAGCAGGGGAAACCGTGTTCCTGTCGCCTTCCGGGGGACAGGAGCCAACTGCACACAAAAAGGCAGCACTTGGCTGTTCTGACTTGTGGGAAATTCTCCACAGTCCCAGATCTACTGTATAGTGTGTGTGTCTGTGTGTGTGTGCGCGTGCGTGCGCATGCATGTGTGTGTGTGTGAGAGAGATTGATTTGCTATTTTCATGGAAGAAGAATTGTTTCTGACACGCATTTCTTTTAAGTTAATATTAATCATTCCCATTATTAGAACTCTGTAATCAGGGCCTGGTGGCGTGGCCTAGCGGCTAAAGTCCTCGCCTTGAATGCACCAGGATCCCATATGAATGTCGGTTCTAATCCCAGCAGCTCCACCCAGCTCCTTGCTTCTGGCCTGGGAAAGCAGTAGAGGACAGCCCAAGGTTTTGGGACCCTGCACCCATGGGGGAGACCTGGAGGAAGTTCTTGGCTCCTGACTTCAGATCGGCACAGCACCGGCCGTTGCACTCACTTGGGGAGTGAATCATTGGATGGAAGATCTTCCTCTCTGTCTCTCCTCCTCTCTGTATATCTGACTTTGTAATAAAAATAAATAAAATCTTAAAAAAAAAAGAACTCTGTAATCTTTCCATGTGAGAACTTAATACTAAGACCGTACTGTCACAACTTTGCTGAATCTCTAGATTACCAAGAAATTCAGCCTTCCTTCTTCAACTCCCCAGCACTGTCACCAAGAACAGTACCCCAGGAATTAGAAAAAAAAAATGCAGCTTGCCTGATCACTACTTCGTTCGTGTTGCTCAGCTCCACCACCAGCACAGATGGAGAGGCCTCAGTGGGGATGACCAGTGGTGGCACCTTCACGTCCTCCATACAGCCCTCGGCGCTCTTGGCTATGTTCTCCTCTATCTGCAAGTACTCCTGTTCAATCATGGTCTTGATATCATAGTTGCCCTGGGCTTGTCCTGCCTCATTTGGGGTCTTGTTGGCAGGCGTGGGGAGTTTGGCATAGAGAATGGCCTTCTGTGGGTTTCCTGAGATGTAGTCCACAGTGCATATGTCAACCAGCAGGGCCAGGTTGTTCAAGGCCTCCTCAGGGAACTTCACCTTGTAGGCATCCTCGTACGCCTTGGGGAGTGCGCTGGCCCACAGCCCGCTGGCGTACCTCCCCAACAGCTCTGCAACTTTCTCTTTAAAGTCCTCAGGCATAACCACCACACTTCCTCTCACTGATGTTGCTGGCTTCGGTGAGGGTGGCAGGGACAAGGGTGCTTTCTCAGCGTCTGAGTCACCTCGCAATGGCTGCTTTCTCTTGGCTGGATAAAGAAGTGAATCCTGGCCTGCACTGTGGGGCTTTTCCACCTGTAGTGTTTTAAATAAATAAAGTAAGGCAGAATTTCAGCGATGGGAAACAACCCCCAAAACATGTTCATGTATTTTTCATTTTCAAATTAACCCAGAAGAATATAAAAGTGCCCATTTGATTCTTCTAGGTGACTAAGGTTGTACTGCATTGCTCCCATTTGCAAATAACAAGGACCCACATTCCAGAATCCAATAGGAAAATAAGAACTTGTTCCTGTCACTTGGGAGGCACCAAGACTTCAGAGCTTCTGCCCTGGGCATCGACCTTGCTTTTTTTTCTTTTAAGATTTATTTTTACTGGAAAGTCAGATACAGAGAGAGGAAGAAAGACAGAGAGGAAGATCTTCTACCTGTTGATTTACTCCCCAAGTGGCCACAACAGCCGGAGCTGAGCCAATCCAAAGCCAGGAGCCAGGAGCCTCCTCCAGGTCTCCCACATGGGTGCAGGGTCCCAAGGCTTTGGGCCATCCTTGACTGCTTTCCCAGGCCACAAGATGGGGCTGGATGGGAAGCAGGGCTGCCAGGATTAGAACCAGAGCTCATATGGCATATGCAAGGCTAAAACTTTGACCACTAGACTACTGTGCCTGGCCTCCAAACCTCCACTTTTAGCAAACCTTACTGTGCTTCAGGGGAAGCGGAGCTGAGAAAAGGTGTCAGGACCGTCAGGAATGAGCCAACAGGAAGAACATTATGGGCTGCTGAAAACAAAATGCAAGTCCCACCACTCTTCCTCCTGCTTCAGAGAAAGCTGCCCCAGGGGGAGAGCAGGTGCAGTTTCTGTGGCAGGCACAGCAGACAGTGAGCTGCAAGAGCAGTCACTGCAAGGAGAAGCATCACAAGCACCATGCCAAGGGAAACGGACATGTGATATCATCCCACTTTCACTCTTACCCTCAGTTCTAGGCCTTTCCACTACTAGAGCATGTGTTGTTATCAAACTACAGCCTGCAGGTTGATGCAGCTCATGCCTCATGATTTGACCTTTATGCATTTAAATGGTTAGGCACAAAAGCCTAGTGGCTAACTCCTTGCCTTGCAACCACTGGGATCCAATATGGGCACGGGTTCACATCCTGGATGCTCCACTTCCAATCTAGCTTTCTGCTTGTGGCCTGGGAACGCAATGAAGGATAGCTCATATCCTTAGAATTCTGTACCAGTGTGGGAGACTCTGAAGAAGCTCCTGGCTCCTGGCTTTGGATCGGCTTAGCTCTGGCCTTTGTGGCCACTTGGGGAGTGAACCAGCAGATGAAAGATCTTTCTCTATCTCCTTCTCTCTGTATGTATATCTGCCTTTCTAACAACAACAACAAAAAAAACTAATAATCTTTAAATGGTTGGGAACAAAAATAAAACAACGATGTGTGTCATGATCGGTGAAAATCACAATACATAAAGTTTCACTGGAATAGTCATGTTCACTTGCTTATGCATTAGCTACATGACACTGGCAGAGCTGAGCTGCTGTCACAGACCGTGTGTGACACCTGCAGTTTTTGCCCTGAAAAGCCTGAGATATTTACTCTCTGACCCTTTGCGAAGCAGCTTCGCCAACACTATCATAAACCACTGCACTGAAGTTAAGACTCATGGTCTTCCAGAATGTTGCTATTTTTATCAGATCTGATTTGGCTATTTGTTAGCTGTAATTTAAGCCCTAAGCAGATCCACTGGAGTGGTAACACAGGCCTACAGGAAGCCCTGCTCAGACCCAGTCGAGCAGCGTGAGTGTAATGGCAGGGCATCTGTGAAGGAGCAATGACTGCTTGCTTTCCTCTCCATATAATGCTTCAGAAAAACAGAGACATACACGCAGGAAGGAGCTATCTTCTTACAGAGAAGGGCTTCAGTATGCTGCAAGACAATTGGCATTAAAATAGCTAACTGCTAGTCTGCCTACATACGCTAAATGCTCTATAAAAAACAAATGATGTTACTATAAATATAAACATTAGGTTTTCTTCCTTACTCTTCTGTGCTTGGATGTGGAAGAGTGAGGGAGAGCTCCATGACCAAGAGCATGAAGCGTGAGACAGAGAGGGGACAGTGGTGATGTGGGACGTGGCAGCTGGCACCATGACAGTCTGGATGACATCTAATCAGGCTGTCACAATTTCTGTCCCTAATTTTGAACCACAGGGGGACAAATATTTAGAAGAGTATCCATGTTTCTCTCAACATTTAAGTCCTACTTTTTAAAACCTGGAATGATAGTCTTCACTAGGCTCTAACACATAAAGTTAGAAGAATGCAGATTGGGTCTCTAGAAAAGGTTTGTGATTCACTTATCACTTATTCACAGCTCCCAATCGATGTGATGTTAGATTTACACACTGGCGTCCTCAGCATGTCCAAAGCCAGTGGAGTATGCAGTACCTGTCTTGAAACTTTCCAGCTATCACCGGCCCAGCCCTTCCTGACACCTGCTCTGTAGGAGATGGCAGAGGCCAACTTCAGTCCGTATTACTGATCTAAATTGGTTTCTCTAAGTCCCATCCTCCAACTGTCTACAGGGCTGATGCTTCTGAGAAGAATTCTTTAGTCCTCTGGTCCTGTCTTTCCAATGAGAAAGGAAGAGGCACTATGGGACAAGCCAGTGTGTTTAGCCTCTCCCACTCAGTCACAAAGCTTCCGTTCCTATCTGTGCCTTCTGATGGGAATAATACCAGCTGCTGCTGCTTCCTAACCATGCACTTAACCTCTTCAATGTGTAAATTTGACTTTGGACTACAACCAGCCTGCTGAGTTCTTGCAAATAGAATTGCTACCACAGTATAAGTTATGAACATTTTGTCTACTTAAGATGAGTCAGTCTGGGGCAATAGTAAAATTCTCATTTTTCAATACAATACTCAAGGGTCACTTGATTCAGCCATCCTTTAACACTCCAGGCAAATGCTCATAGATCGATGCTGACATAGGTAAGACCCTGGCCAACAGCCTTTGTTAGCCAGTCTTTGGAGAACACCTTAGGGATTTCCCAATTCAAAGGGAAAAAGATTCATTAAACACTGTTTTAGAGTTTAAAATAACTGTAAACAAAGGTAGATGCTTATCAGCTTGCATTCTCTTCTAAAATTTTTATGAATGGAGACTTGCTTTTCCCAGACATGATGTGATTGCCATCTTCCACCAAATGTGCCATTCCTTTTTAATTTTCTGGTCTGTGGGTTTAAGTAAGAGGCCACTACAGGAAGCTCCCCAAGGACAGAAGGCCATTATCACATGAGACAGTGTGGTGGCCTCTCCTCAGTGCGTGGGGATGCCTTAGCCCCAGGACAGCAGCACTGCCTTATGGCCTCATGCTAACCAGGGCACACCAGCACATCCTTAATGTGCTCATTGGCAGTTGCCCGAGCCAGGCAGGTCTCTGGAGCAGGGACTGCACGGCTTCCAGCTCCCCGATGCTTTGGGCTCCATCCATATCTGAGGACCAAGGTCCAAAGGCCTCTTTCCTGCAGGGGATGCCCAGTCATCCTTGTCCTTTGTGTTTCCTTTGGCTTTGCGGTTTTACATCCTTGTCCTGGGTTCTGGATGTCCACTAAGGGATCACCAGTCCAAATACTGGGAGCTGACATTATCTGTCAGTTCACGTCGTATGTGTTGATCCCTCCATCCCCTTCCACTGCCAGGCAGGAGAAATGGGTAACATACAAATTTCTACTTCCTTGGCAACCATAAGAACATTCTAGGGCTAACATTCCTTCCACTTTACCTCCCCCTGCAAGTCATTATATTCAGCTTGAGTTCTGCTTCCTGTGAAACCATCACCTGAATGAGATCCTTCTTACACACTCCTTTGGGTGCCTGTAGGTTTGGAGTAGATATACTATGACTTCACAGATGTGAGGCCCACATCTACGTGAAGTGGAACAGCAACTTCTTCAGGGGCCTATTGGCTTGTATGCACGCACATGTAAACTCACATGTAAACACACGCATGTGTGCACACACACACATGTTTTCATCCTATGTTTCTAACAAATCCTTGTTTAACTCTAAGAAATCTTTGCTTCTTCCTTTTTAGTTTTCCTGGCACTGTAAACTCAAGTTCCTGAACCAGCCTTCTTTGATTCTGCTAAGGTTTACCTTCTAAATCAGTAGCATATGGCAGAGGGTGGAGGATGTGAACAAATTCTTTGATGTTTATGGAAATCAAACTCACCAGCAGCTAGGCTGCTGTTCCCGGTGAGCAGCAGGTGGCAGTTCCATCCCTGAAGTGACTCAGCCTCTGGGGAGGGTGAAGTGCTGCAGGTGCTTCTGCAGCTGAACCCTCCCTCGGGGCCTCGCCCCCACTGTCTGAATGGCTGCCTGCTCTCTGGCCCTCCTGGGCCTGCCTTGTATCAACTCATCTGTCAGCAGAACTGCCACCTCTGCAGGGAATCCTCCTTGAATCACGGAACTGAGTCCAATCCCTCCTGCCTACACATTCACTCAGTCCCCTGCGCTTCTCCCCAGGGTCAACTGTGGGGTTACCATGGCTTGCTCAGGGCACACTCTTCCTGTCAGATGAGAAATGTCCCAGGGCAAGGGCCTTGGTAGGTTGGCAGCTGGCCCATAGAAATACTTAATTCAGGCCAATGAGCCCACTGAGACCACAAATTAAAAACCACCAAGAGGTGTCATTGTGCTTTTCCTGGGACCCGGAAGGTGAGCTGGGGAGGGGAGAGGGCGGGGACCAGAGATGCCAGTACCTGGGATCTGCAGGCCTTACCATCATGGGACCTTGCACAGGCCTCCCCTCCCTCAGTGCCTAGGAAACTAGATCTGGCTCACTGAGGTTAAAGACTCCACAGTATCTCTAGTATGTCTCACAGCTCCTGGCACACATTTCTCAGTCTAGAGTCCCCAAATATTAAGAAGCACATCTTCAAAGCATCCTTTCACCTGCATCAAAATGTCAGCCTAAATTGTCTACACAGCCTTCAAGCCCAGCCAACCTTGCCAGAGGGAACACAGAACTGGGTGTGCTGTCCGTGCTTCTGCCTTGCAGAAAGAGTGGCACTGACCAGCTGGAGGTGGAAAGGACCACACTGTAACTGAGTGCAGACGTTTTAACAGCAGGCGGCTCAATGTAATCATCCAAAATTACAATGCAGACTTCTGCCAAGTCCCCCTAAACATTGATACAGTTGGCAATTTCTGCATCCCAGCTGCAGTGTTCCACTAAGCATACTGTGGTCGCCTGCTGATGGGTGGCGGGACATCTTAGCAGCTCTATGCTGAGCTCCGAGCCATGCTATGCAGACAGGAAAGTGGCATGGCATTTCTGCCTCATGCTGCACCTTCACTGCTCAGAGAGGGCAGAAGCAGAAAGACAAACTTGAATTCTGAAAGCAGCGGCAGCAGTGCAGGCTGTGCTGGGCATGAGAAAGTTACTCAGACACCATTCATCTCAGGTGACGCTTTGGTGTCAAAGAGGCTAGTGGCTCTGTCATCTGCAATCCTAGAAGTTACAGGATGTTGGAGACATGGAGAGGAGCCAGGATGAACATTTCCCCCCCCCCCCCCAGGAAGCCACTAATCAAGCAACACAAATAATGGTAAATTATTACGGACCATTAAAGTAACCAGAAACATAAACAGTTAAGAATGTATCAAATTTATCTGAAAAACTTTTTATTCTATAAAAGGCCTCTATCAAAGTTTAACAAAACAAAGGCTCTAAATTCACTGAAAATTTGCTATCAATGTCTAGGGAATTAAGATCACATAGAATTAAGAATCACATGAATTTATTATTTTTAAATTAATTTATTTCAAAGACAAAGTTAGAAAGAAATCCTCCATCTATTGGGTCACTCTTCAACAGGTCCATTGGCTATGGCTGGGCCAGGCTGAAGCCAGGAGCTTCATCTGGGTCTCCCATGTTGGTGGCAGGGGCCCAAGCACTTGGGCCATCTTCAACCACTTTCCCAGGTGCATTAGCAGGGAGCTGGATTGGATCAGCCAAGATCTGAACTGGGACCCATGTGGGATGCTGCCACTGCAGGTAGCAACTTAACCTGCTATGCCATGGTACCAGCTCCAATAACATGCATTTCAATAAGGGATAACAGGCCTGAATAGTTTTTGTTTTTGATGATGTTTACCTAGCTGATCATGGTGGGATGGATCAAGGGCTAGGAAAAAGTGGGTATGATCACTGTTTCCAAATTGTCTATTTTTTCTTCCTGTTTCTGGGGAAACGAGGAGATTAGAGGAAGTCATACCAGTCTCCCAGCTGCCCTGTGGATGGGGAACAGCTATTCAACATCAACCCAGGGTCCGGAAATGGCACATGCACCAAGGTTTCTGCTTAGGTGGTTTTGATAAGGCCTGAATCTTTAAATCAATAAGTCTGAGGCAACTTCCTCTGGCTGGAATTCGGCACAGTGGTTAACACTTGGGACATCTACATCCCATGTTGGAGTCCTTGGATTCAAGTCCCAACTGTGCTCTAGCTTCCAACTTCAAGTGTCCTGTTAATGTGCACCTGAGCTACAGCAGCTGACAGCTCAGATACGGGGTCCCTGCTACTCACAGAAGAGACCTTTGTGCCTGAGTTCCTGGCTCCTGCCTTTGGCCTGACCTAGAGAAGCTGTTGCAAGGCATTTGGGGTGTGAACCTGTGAATGGAAGATCTTGGTCTTTTCTTCTACCTTTGAAATAAATAAAAATAAATTTTATATATATGTTTAATATAAAAATATATAAAGAACATGCAAAGCCTAGGGCGTGAATCAGTGTCACTGCACCTGCATCCGTGAGAAAATCCTTGCCAGACTGAAATGAAAACTGAATGACTTGGAAAGCAACCTCAGGCTATCTCGTGCTGAAAAATTTCCAGGGAAAGGAATTTTGTCTCGTAGTTAAGATGCCACTTGGGGTGTCCCACAGTCCCTACCAGAGTTCCTGGGTCCAAGGACCAGCTCTGCTGTCCACTCCAGCTTCCAGCTAACGAGGACTCCCTCCAGGAGGTGGCAGGTGACGGCTCAGCTACTCAGATCCCTGCCACTCACTATGGGAACCCAGATTCAGTTCCCAGCCACCAGCTTTGGCCTGGGAATCAGCCAGCAGATGGGAGACATTTCTTTTCCCAACTCACTCACTCTCTACCTTTCAAATAAAACATCAAAACTGTTTTAAAAACAACCCTATATCAAAATGCACATTTAAGTCCAGAAGCTTAGAAGTACCAGGTAGCTGTTAATGCTATTGTCACATTTTGAATATATTTAAGTGCTACCCTTAGAACAGATTTTTAATATACTTTACATTTTAAGAAACATCTAAAGGTTAAGAAGTGAGCTGTCTCTGGTCAAACTAAGCTTTCTAAGAAATCAGTTGGCTCTGTTATCTTGTTATAATTATAGACTCCCATGTAGGAGCAGGTACAGAAATTGGTAATTTACTTTCAATGCTTTTTCTTTGTTCAACTTTTTTCTGATAAAGTCTGTACAAGTTTTCAATATGAACAATGTGTTAATTTCAAAATAAGGATAAGATACTCTACAAATAATTAGCCAAATAACAAAAACTTGCTCTGCTGAAGAAGTCTTCAAAACTGCTCATGGATATGCATCCAAAACTTGAAGCTAATTAAACAATGTGTTCACCAGGGAGCTCAAGTTACTAAAACAGCAAGGCTGTTGGCATGCACTGGTAGCAGCTCATTCTGTTCAAAATGCTGTATAGTACAATGGAGGAGCTTGGGGAATTTCTCTGTCAGGACAGTCTCTGCACATGAGTGTAGGAACCAAGAAAGGGAGCAGCTCAGGCCAGGCCAGGTTATGGTACCCAAGGGCTTACCTTTGGCTCAGGTCTGGGGTGAGCCAGGCTTGACCGGTTCATATCACCCACTGGCAAATCACAGAGCCAGGATGGTGTGCAGATCATGCTAGGTCGGGCTGCAATACCAGCCAGTTCACATTAGGGCCAGGATTGTGGGCTGGCTAGGCTGGGTTAGGCTGTAGTCTCAATTAATGTGAGCTATAACTGGGGGTGGGCCAGGCCAGGCTAGGCTATATCACTCACTGGCAAATGCTGAGGTGAGATGTGTCACGCCAGACTGGGTCACAGCACGTGATCAGCATATGTGAGATCCAGGAAAGAGCAGGTGAACCCTGTAGGGGGAATGCAGGGAGCTCTCCTGCTGGGCCACTATTCCCACTGGTGAGCATGAGGGCTGGGACTGGGTGCAGACCAGGCTGGGTAGTTACAACACCTGTTGGCCTGCGTGTAAACTGGATTGGAGACAAGCCAGGTTGTGCGGACTGTACCTACTGGTGCATGCATAAGCCAGAGTGGGTATGGGTTGGTTGAGCTTTGCCATAGCATCAGTTAGCAGATGCTGGCATGGGGAGAAAACTCCGCCGAGCTAAACTGCAGTACCACCTGGAGAGTACAAGATCCAGGAGTGGGAGTGAGCTCATTAGGGAAACATTGGGCACCTCCCTCTTGGGTTGCCACTACCACTGGTGAGCATAAGAACCTGGACTGGGACAGGCATGGCCACATAGAGAGTGGTACCCACTGGCACATGTGTGGGCTGGATAGTGGGGCTGGTTGGGTTGAACTAGGCTTCCATGCCCATTGACATGTATGAGAGCTGAATGGGATGTGGGCAGACCAGACCCAGTCTGCTTTACGTATTGGCAAGCATGGAAATCAGGGCAGAGACAGGTCTGGTAGGGATTATTGTGGGTCTCTCTGACTAGACTACATCTCCTACTGGTTTGTGTGAGGGCTGAATGTGTGGTGGGCAGGATCAGACTGGACTGCAACACCCATTAGTTTGCACAGAAGACAGGGCTGGAGACAAGTGACCCAGCAATTGCAACTAACAGTGTGCAAGTAGGCCAATTTGATCAGTGGACTGTATCGGACCCTGTATTGGCATGCACACACAAGAATCAGGTCTGGGATCATCTCAGATGAAGTTTCTTTGGGAATCCCTCTCCCCCAACTGCACCTCTGGACTGAGAATTCCAACCATGGAGAAAACTTCAGGTTCCATGGTCTGACCGTGGAATGCATGTATCAGAGCTGGACCTCAGTGGCTTAGATGGAGCAGTGGACAGCATATCCAGATGCACATGAAGGATATGGTAGTACACTGGAGCCTGCAGAGGACAGTTGGTACCATAACAGAGGACAGAGGATAGGCCTAACTGATGAACTATTCCAGCCAAGCATTGGCAGTGAATATCTGGGCAAACAAAGACTCTAAGGTGGACTATGTCAACCAGCGGATTCTGGAGAGATTTCATTGTGATTGGAGTGGTGAGATCAGTAGTAATTCAGAACTGTTGAACTATCAAAACCAATTGAGCAGTGCCCTTGGAGCATGCCCCACGTTGGGGACCCTGAGATGGCTGGGAGGCTGGGTGTGGCTTGTCCCCTTATCTTTCCCCTCTCCCCAGATATAGGAAAGAAAAAAGAGAATGTGGAAACAATGGTCTTGCTTAATTTCCTCTAGCCCTTGACCCTTCCAATCCTAATCAAATATGTAAAAATTATCAAAAATAAAATGTAGACAATTAGAAAAATGTTATAGAGTACAAATGACCACACAGTAAACGCATGGTATGGATGATTAAGAACAACAGATACAGCAATTACAACGTGCAGGGCCTTTCCCACCGACACACTTTCCCTGTCAGAACCAACACGTGCTAATCACAAAGGTAAGGATGAAATGGCAACGAGGCACTGTGCTTCTCCCACCCCAGACAGAAGCAGGTGCGACTTCTCACTTGGAGTCTGAAAGCGGGACAGGAAGGAAACATGAGAGGGGAGGAAAAGGAAGAACGTACCGTGCAGATGTGAGGCCAGTGTTCAAACTGCTGTAAAATTCCTTGGTTAAGGTCTTCTTTATACAATTCTTTGTAAAAGTGTGGAAGCTTAGAGATCCAGATGCCGTTGCTGTGCTTGCTTAGTATTTCCTTTATGCGGTTTTGAACCACATCCACTTTAGAAGTGTAAGAGGCAGGAGGCGAGACATTTGGTTTTTCAACAGTCTGATTTAAATTATCTTTAAATTTAAAAAAATGGTAGAGTTAACCAAGAAATGCTTAACACTTAGACATCCCTATTACCTGCTAGAGGGGGACAAGGGACCTGGAAGGGAGGATTGGACAACGCAGCACTGGGCGGCCTCATCCAAAGCAGTGACCGGCAAGAGTCCAGAGACACCCCCAAAGGAGACCTCACCCCTTTATTTGGCAAAGAATGTTTCATGATTTAAATAACAAAATAACCTGCTGTGTAAAAAAAAAATTATAAAGTTTATTACTTAACCTATCATTTCCTACCTGGAACTAAAGAAGGTTAAAAGTTTAGAAAATACTGATATAATATATATATATATATAAAGCTGAGTTTAAAGTTACCGTCTACAAAGCATAACAGTATAACAGAAAAACACTTTATAAAGATAAAAATTAGTTCATATTGTAAGACTGTGTATATTTTCCCCTTTATTACTGAAAATAAATAATTCAGTAGTAAGTAGAAGCTCAAAAATTGACTCTGGAATAAGAACCACCTTGGGAACGCTTGGAACCCGCAGATAACTATTCATAGCTTACTTTTTATTTTCCTAATATTTACCTTTAATAAGTGCATATTATAAAGTTTGAGCTATCTCTTATACTCATAATTTTTTAAATTTTAAACTTAAAATACCCGAATTAACAACCTAAGATGATACAAAGCTTTGAGCACTCATAAATCATTGATAGTTCTGGTAATTTAAGAACTATGCAATTCACTGCAAACATCTTTGAAACTTCACTGGATATGGAACAGAGCACATTGAAAATTACCATCTACAAGAAAAATATATTCATCTTTTAGTCTAGCAGTATTTCCTCTGGGAATCAGTCATTCCTCTGCTGTCTTACATTTAGTTGGCTGGTAGGTACTGCTGACCTCCTAAGATGTTGGCTCGGGTCTTCCCAGCAGGAGGCAGCCAGGGCCGGCCTTCCCAGGGCTTCCCAGCCACAGAGTGCAAGCATTCAGGCAGTCCCTACAGTTTTTCTCTTGAGGGAGTAGGCAATTTATCTGCATTTTTCTCAGATAATGAGATCCCAGGGGTTTCTCCTACCTGGGTAGACTTCCCTTAAGAGGAGCAGGTCAGCAGCTAGGGCCAGTATAGCCTGCAAAGGCACTGTGGCTGCCTGCCTGGGCACCTGTCCCTTTTGTTCAACAGCTTGAGGTCACCCAGGGCTGCCAGTGCGTGGGACATGCGCAGAGAGAGGGAAGCCTCGAGGCTGTCTACAGATGTTATTCTTGAAGGTGTACTTTTCTCTTGAGACCACCTCCATTTATGACTAAAAGGAACTGGGTAGGTAGGAGGGGAGGAGAGCCAAACTCCAAGCAGTAGAAGGTGACAGTGGGTGTCGACAGCCATGCTGAGTCCTGGTTTGGGGAGGCTGCAGAAGGCAGTCGCCATCATGGAGACCATGCCTGACAAACGTACCGCTCATCTCCTCCTTAGTGCAGGTTCTTGCAAGGTGCATTTGTAAAGACGGTGACAGCGAAACCTTAGGACTAAGCCTGAGGTGTAAAAAAAGGAAAATAAAATTCAAAACAAGGTCTATAATGTACTTTTCATCTAAAATCATTGTGGTACTGAATAGCAAAATGAGTTATAAAAACATTTTAAGGCTGAAAAAAATGAAAATGAGTATCATCTTTCTTATTTGAAAACAGTATGTGAATGAAACTATGTTAAAAGCTAAATTTAAAAATCCTTCTGAAAGATTCTGAACCTAAGTCAGAAATACAATTAACCACCTTTAGGGAACTAGCAAAGCAATAAAAGTTATGCCAAGGATCTACTGTTCAAAATGAAGACTATTTTGAACATGACTGATAAAGAACTTTCATCCTCAAATATTAAAGTGTATTATCAAGTTAAAGCAGTTGGACATATAAACTGAATAAATGATAGCTGAGAACCTAGATTTTATATTATATGTTAACACATAACACACTTGATATTTCACACCAGAGATGACTCAACCAACTATTTGGAAAAGAATATATGTCTCCATTTCACATACTTACCAAAAAAATTTTATATGAATTACACTGAATATATATAGGAAGATTTTTCCCAAATATGAAGGCCAAGCAAAGAAGTCTCTCTCTCTCATACACACACACACACACACACACACACACACACACTTCACAAGCAGATCTGTTTCTCTCAGCAGACTCTAAACATGTACACTATCTGTATTTCCAATGTCTGTATCAGTGCTTGGAAAATGGCAAGGAGATCTGTTATTGTAAAAAACATGATTGAATGAATGATTGAGTTACTCAATGCCTGCATTTTCCCCAGAAACACACATAATCTCCAAAAAAAAAAAATGGAATAGTATGGAACACTTGTAAAATTAGAACAATTTTTTGAAATGAGACAAATTTCATTAAAATTTTAAAGAGTTTTCTTTGGTTTGTAAAAATTCTTAGACATTTTATTGAAACACAGTGTACATCCCAAGAAATGCACATAAGTGTACAGATAAATGAGGGTTTTTTTATTCTCCGGGCATACTCATAAAAGCTATGCATTTTATGTCTTATTTGAAAGGTAGAAAAAGACAGTGAGATCTTCCACCTTTTTGTTCATTCTCCCAAATGCCCACAACAATCAGAGTTGGACCAGGCTGAAGCCAGGAGCCCAGAACTCCACTGGGGTTTCCTTCTTGGGTGGCAAAGACCCAAATACTTGGGCCATCACCTTCTACCTCCCAGAATGTGATTATCAGACAGCCAGGATTGGAAGCAAGGCCAGGACTCAAACCCAGGCATTCCAATGTAGGACATGAGCATCCCAAGAGGCATCTTAGCCACTGCATACTTTCTAAGAAATGAGTAAAATGTTGACACAACACAGAGAAACTAGAGAGCAGAGGTACATTCAGAGAGTAAAGCCACGCAGCCAGGGCAGGGGGTCTGCCAGCAGGAGCACATGCCCCCACCACACACACACACACACACACACACACACACACACACACACTCTCTCTCTCTCTCTCTCTCACACACACACACACATACATACACATCGGTCAAACAGGAAAGATTAGTTATTAGTTTCTTAACCCCAACACACAGTTTCCACAGTTAAGCTCTGAGTTCCACGACACCCCTCCTTTCTGCAAGGCGGAGTCCAGGTACCTGCTATTGGCAGACATGGTCATGGGCCTCTGCACGGCAGCATTCGAGAACAGCTCGTTTCCAGCAGCCGTGGGCTGCAACTCGACGCTGGTCTTCACTCCTACAGTGTGGCCTTGGTCTCTGAACAGGGTTGGACTTGGTTTTCGGCTGACAGAAAAGTCTGAAGCAAACCCTGGCTGCCTGAGGGTTGCTTTTGGTTTTCCTGTGAGGCACACACGATGGAGCCAATTAGCTTTCTGCAGGCACGGTTTCACCACGTTCCTCCCTGCCTGTATTCTGTGGGAGCTGGCTGCCATTAGAGGCTTGGCCAGCAGGGGAAGGAAAGATAGGCGAGCACTCAGCAGAGGAGGTCCTCTTTCTTCTGCTCCCCAACACTTGAGTGGCAGCCACTCACCCCTACACAACCCCCCACTCCTACAAATGCAGCACACTCAGCCATATGTCAGCCCCCCCTCGGCTTCTTCCCTGTCAGCCCAAATTCTACCCACTGTTTAAAGTTTGGGCTCACACCCCCTCTCAGGAAGTCTTCCGTCACCACTCTCAGCCACAAGGAAGGCTGTCCTGCCTACATCGGCTTCCCATCATCAGTGAACTCTTTTTTGAGAATTTACAGTTTTAGAACTCATCAGTACTGTGAGACATGGGTTCAGCTAGCAAAGCCGAGCAGCCCATACACATTTTGGGCACTGTATAACTCATGCTTCTGTTCTCCCCCTGAAAATACAGATTTTTCTATCAAAAGATAACTCATTAACTAGCACATAAAATGTAGGTTTTTGGTTCATCCAACATTTTGGCTGAGGCTCTCCCTCAAATAACATAAAAGATCAAAGCCACACTTTGCCATAACATACTTAATTAAAAACTAGCTCAGTTATCTCACCGTGGGACTGCTCCCTTTAGGTGAGCCATGCTTCTCATGTCCACTTAGCAATCGCAATCAGAAATGGCAGCTTTGGGACCCCCAGACAGGTTTGTATCAAAAACACAAGCAATGCCTCCGTGATGCCTAAGGACATGGTTTACAAAGGTCTAAAAATTTTAGCATACAGAAAGCCCATACCTTCTAGAAAAAATGGCATGGCTTTCTTCACTCTCATTTGACAATTAACTTGCCGCCCGGTTTTCCTTTTAGAGCTTCTCTGACGAGCCACAAGCTGAGCGATTCTCGCGGTTTCTGTGCAGGCCACGGCATAGCAAGTGACCTGCTCGGGAGGGGCAGGGTGAGAGGAGAAGCACTTCTCAGAGGGAGTGCTACCTGGTGGGCAAGGTTTTGTTTTTTAAGATGTGTTGTATTTGAAAGGCAGAGAGAGAGAGAGAGAGAGAGAGAGAGAGAGAGAGAGAGATATGAAGAAAGAGATTGATCTTCCAATTGCTAGTTCATTCACTAAATGGCTGCACCAGGTTTGGGCTAGGTCGAAGCTAGGAGCCGGGAAACTCCATCCTGGCTTCCCACAGGGTCTCAGAGGCTCAAGTCTGATGCCTCCCAGATGCATTAAGGAAGATGGTGTGGAAGCACAGGTGAGCAACTTTAGCCAGCTCCCTGCAGGCAGGTTAAACAGCTGTGCCACAATACTGGCCCCTAGTGGCCAATGTTTGACATTGGCTCTCGGGGGAGGGGACACATCCCAAGGCAATCTATATGCACACATTTATGTCTCTTTCCCTGAAAATGAGAACAAAATCGTCTTTCCTACAAGAGTTAAGCATAGCCTGGACACTGAATAACCTTTCTTCAAATGAACAATTTCATTTACTATTAAGCAGGTTTTTAGTAAGCAGCTACAATGTACTACTAGGTACTATGGGATTAATACATGAACCAAAGAAACCTGTGATCTGTTTAGGATTATCTCATTTACTCCAAACAATTTTACTGTTATACTATTTTACACAAGGGAAAATAGTGGCAATCTGCCAATCCCATACAGCAAGACTCTAAGTCCACAGCAGTTAAACTCCCCAAGATCACTAGATGCTAGTCTTGCCCCATCACATGTTAGCTGGGTGACTTTGGAGGCGGGGGGGGAGGGGAGAATCTGTGTTCTCAGAAGCAAAACAGGAGTGGTTTAGACCTGGGGTTTTCAAGCTCTGCTCCCCGGAGCCACAGAGCTCCATGCAGGGGCTTCAGGGGCTGTCCCTAGTAGGGAAGCAAGGGACACCTGCTTACAACCCAGCAGACTGAGTTTGATCTTTCTCATAAATCTGGTGTAATCCATGAGTCTAGAAAATCAGGGGTGGGGGAAAGATCTGAAGTGTAGAGATTGCTGTGACTAGATCATCTCTAAAGATCTTTCTCCCAGGCCTGGGTCTCTAATTCGAATAGGGAAACGAGTGGGTTTTACCTCACAAGTCAAAATGTATTCCTGCTTTGGATCCCGGTATTCCTAGTCCTAAGAATTTATTATAAGAATGAATTCAAAACAAAAATAACTGCCTACCCAAATGTGAGATGTCTTTATAGTCAAAATGAAAGACCAGAGGGTTAATTAGAGTGCAGTAGCTGCACAAGATGCTCTTAAGTTTATGAATTTATTCAGGCATTTGATCAATCATACAGTCAACACATACTGACTCAGTATCGATAACTAGGGGTGGGAAAAAATAGTCCTTGATGCCCAAGAAATTTATAAAGGAAAAAGATGAGGGACAAAGAAACTAAAATAGAAACTGCTGTGTCGAGCATTACCAGGGCCGTCCAGCAGCCACGGCAGAGTGGACAGGGCAGTGTGCAGATGCACGTGAGAATCAGAGGCACAGAAGTGCCCTTGTTATTAATATTTGACATCTCCATAGGGAAGTTATTACAGACAAGGTGGACCCACCCTCTGCTCACCTGATCCTGGTTCCCCTTTCCTCCCCCACCCTCCCTCCCCAACTCTGCAAACAAACTCCATGACGGGCTTGGTTAGAGACCCTCCGGACCGTGCCAGGTATCTGTGTATGAAGATGTGCTCCCGGAAAGCTGCAGTGCTGTACACCCCTGGCAGTGCGGGGGACAGAGAGGCTTGTCTCGGCTTAGAATGGTGGTGTATCCTTATCTTCCAAAGTATACAACAGGCAGACACCAAGAAATGGAACTGCCAGGTCATGACCAAAGTGCAATCAAAGATTGACCTGCTGCCACTGATCGGCCTGTGGCCAATATGAAAGATTCTCCTCCATGGAGATTTCAGAATTTAAAGCAGTAGAATAGCTGTGACCATACTGGCATGGATGAGAGAACAGAATATGGAGAGAAGAGACAGAGGGAGGCCCTGTATGATTTAAAAGTGACAAATGATCAAATAGTATCAAGCTAGGTCCTGACATGACAGCAGTCAGTGGTGAGAATGTAAAATTGCTTTTAAAGCTGGCGGGTAAGAGCAAGAGCCGAGTGGGCAGGCAGGTCAGTGGTGGGTGAGTGTGAAGTGCAGGCAGGTGAGGCCGTCAGCACAGCCACTCTGGATGCTGAGATTGGGTCAATGTAAACTTTCAAGTTTCAAAACATGTAAAATCTTATTGTTGTGATGAAAAGAACTGGAGGGATAAAGCACCAGACATCAAGCCCTCAGCTGAACTTGGAAGACCACTCAGTCCCTGGGAATCTCAAACCACTTAGAGGGTCCCCTCCAGGTCCACTCCTGGGAGACTAGGAGTGCCAGACGGGCCACCAGCACAGGCAGGGACTCCTCTGACAGACACAGCCACTGTCTTACCTCTCCAGACCTACTGGTCTCTATCCTGACCACCGCTGGCACACTTCTCAGGTAGGCTTCCAGCGTAGGGTAGCCCAGCTGTTTGAAGGGGATCCAGTCTCCAGTCAAGGAGCGATATTCTCCTTGCAGCCGGGGCAACGCGATCCCATTCTTATGAGACTGCAGAACAGCCCGCAGCATCTTGGAAACCAGATCTGCTTCCAGCATTTTCGCCTGGGAGAACACAGCAGAAAGTTATCATGATATGGCTCCAGCGTCTGTGAAGTCAAATGGATGCTGCAGAGCTGAAACTTGCCAGATCGCTCCAAAGTCAGTTCTGTGCAACTGAAGAGAAATGACTGTTATTGGTAAAGAAAGAACCCAGAATACCATAAAGAGGCAGGGCAAAGTGAGGAAGGCAGAGAGATTAAGCCCAGGAGGTCAGAGTTCAGAGAATGCTTCCCAGGCGAGGAGCGGCCTGGAGTCCTGTATAGGGAATCCGCCAGGTGAGTGTGGGGCTGGGGGCAGCTCTCGACAAAGGCATGGGTGGGGGGAGGTCCTGAGCCTTTCGGGCCAGGAAGTGGCTGGACAGGACTGAAGGCTGCCCTAGGCTGGAGACTGAGGGCTGGGAAGGGGCAGCAGACTGAGATGACATGACACGATCAGCCAATTGTAACGTGGGACCTTAAGGGGATTTTAATCAGGGGCATAAAATGATCAATTCTACACTGTGTGCAGACTTCTGTTCAGCTCCAAGGGGAGATACCCAGGATGAAGAAGATGGAGTAAGTTTTGAGGATATCTGGAACTGAGGGGGACCTTAAAATAAAAGAGGCCTAGGAAGACAAAAACTCTGGCGGAGAGGTGATTAGGAGGAACGGAGGAACTGGCTTGGAGGATGAGGGTCCCACCAGTGTCCACTGGAAGCACAGTGGACAGCAGTGACTCATCCTGAGCTGGGAAAGGACAGAGGGTTCATTGTGGACCTGTGGGGGCTGGGATTCTGTGTGACAGCCACAGAGATACTTTTGCTAGGAACCCAGCTTAGAGGTCTGAGCTGGTCTACAGATACAGACTTCCTGACCTTCAACTTACAGGTGCCATCTACCATCCAGGAAGTCCCAAATTAGGTTAATGATGGATCTCTGTGGAAGACTGGCATTTCAAGGAAGGTAGAAGAATAGTTTATTCTAGTTTAGGAAGGGTTGAGAGATGGGGACCAGAGAGATGGAAATAGAAGACAGTTACAATACCATATACGCAGAAAGAGGAAAGGACATAGAAGAATGGCCTGTTTCCAAGTATCACACAGGCCGGGCACCTGACCTAGTGGTTGGATGTCAGCTGAAATGCTTGCATTCCACTCCAGAACAGCCAGGTTCAATCTCTGCTTCTACTCACAATGCCAGATTCCTGCTGAAGGACACACGGGGAAGCAGCAGAGCATGGCGCAAGTAGTTGCCTCCCACAAAGGAGACTTAGCTTGAGTTTTCAGCTCCCAGCCATGGAGGATATTTAGAAGTGAACAAATGGATGGGAACTAGCTCTGTCTGTTGGTCCTTCCCTCTTTCTGTCTCTTGGCCTCTCAAATTAAAAATTAAGAAGGAACATACGATGCACAGGTCAAGTGAGAGAACAATGAACAGTGAATCCTACCAGTCAGGGAATCAGAAGGACCCTGGCTTAGGATTTCCTTTGTCAATTAGCAGGCGCTATTCAACAACAGCCACTCAGTTTCTCTGGACTAATGGTATCTCTTTTCAATGGTGTTTTCCTTTGAAATTTTATTATTTGGAAGGCAGAGAGACACAGAGACAGAGAGCGCACTAACAATATCTTTCATCTACAGTTGCACGCCCCAAATGGCCACCACAGCCATGGCTCGGGCAGGACAAAGGCAAGAACCAGGCACTCCCTTTGTGTCTCCAACATGGGTTGCAGTGGCCCAAGTGCCTGAGGCCACCATCTGCTGCCTTTCCAAGTACATTAGGAGGAGCTGTATTGGAAGCAGGGCAGCTAGGACTTGAACCAGCGCTCCAATAAGGGAAGCCAGTATTACCAAGTTGTGGCTCAATCACCTGTGCTGCAATGCTAGCCCCTGCCTTGGTTTTGAAAAGAAAATAACAAGTCAGAGATGTATCCACAGAACAGTATTCAGGTAGCCAGGAGAAAGACCAATGCTTTCACTAAGGAGAGGGGAAGGCCCGACCCAGGCAGTGCAATCCTCCTTGCACGGCACTATCCAGTAGTGATCTGTGATGTTGGACGCACCTGCTCCCTGTGCTGTCCAGTATGGCAGCCAGGAGCCCCATGTGGCTTTGAGCATTTAAAAGGTGACCAGGATGACTGATGAACTAAATTTCTCTTCTCTCTCTTTCTTTTTTTCTCTTTCAAATTGAAATGTGGCTAGTGGTTGCCTTATTGGGCAACACAGAATTCTACACAGCCTTCTCTTTCTTAAGCTTAGAAAACAGAAAGGATGACAAAAATACAAATCCACCAACTTGTTCATTGCCCATTTTAAAAAAGAAACAAAATGATGGCTTCTTCATAAGTGCTCTTAATTACAAATGTCCCAATGCCAGCAAAGGTTTAACTGGCAAATGAAAGTCTGAGTCTCCTCTACTTAATGTTAACTCTTTGCAAATAGTCACCACCAGCACCTCGTTAATCAAATAACACAGCAAAGCAATGACTTATATTAGGACCTATTAGTTTTACTCAAGTTAATATATATAAATACAGGGATTTATAAATAATGAAAATTAGATAGTCTTCATTTAGGTATAATTTATGTAAAATAAGGTTAACTCATTTTATGTGTAATATTTGAGTTTTTAAAAAAATGTAAACACTAATTTAATCATCATCATGATCAAAATACAGGTGTTGCCATCACTCCTGAGGGAGCTTTTTGGGTGATTTAAACAACAGTGCAAAGGATGAAGGAGAGAGACTGGGAGTACCTTGCTGGGAGGCTCTTACCACCAGGAACAAGTAGTACAATGCAGCTGAAGGCAGACTGTGATGAACTGTAAACTCATAGCAAATGCTTTGAGTAACTATCAAGCCAGTAGGAAAGAGGCAGTAGGATAATACTCAAAATGTAGGCAGAAGTTTTAAAACTTAGGCAATGTGAGAAGGAAAAAAACAACACAGTTAAAGAACATAGAAAACATCTAGGGCCCAGCGCGATAGTGCAGTGGTTAAACTCCTCGCCTTGCACACGCCAGGATCCCATATGGGTGCCGGTTCTAATCCCGGCAGCTCCACTTCCCATCCAGCTCCCTGCTTGTGGCCTGGGAAAGCAGTCGAGGACGGCCCAAAGCTTTGCGACCCTGTACCTGCATGGGAGACACGGAAGAGCTCCTGGCTCCTGGCTTTGGATTGGCTCAGCAATGGCCATTGCGGATGCTTGGGGAATGAATCAATGGACGGGAGATCTTCCTCTCTATCTCTCTTCCTCTCTGTATATCTGCCTTTCCAATAAAAATAAATAAATCTTCAAAGAAAACAGCTAGTAAAATTAGTCATACCAATAACTACATTAGGGTGCAGTGCTGTAGTGTGGCAAGTTAAGCTGCCACCTGTTACACAAGCATTCTCTACGGGTGCTGGTTCATGCTCTACACATATAATTGCTCCACATATAATCCAACTCCCTGCTAGTGGCCTAGGAAAATCAGTGGATGATGGCCCAATTACTTGGTCGCCTGCTACCTTTGTGGGAGAACTAGATGAAGCTCCTGGTTTTCGCTGCAACCATTTGGAGGCAGACCCATGAGATGGAAGATTTCTCTCCTTCTCCCTATAACTCTCCCTTTCACTAAATTTTGAATAATTACATCAAATGCAAATGACTAGAGGCCAGTGTTGTGTACAGCCAAAGCCTGTAATGCCAGTAACCCATATGGGCACCATCTGGTTCAAGTCCTGGCTATTACACTTCTAATCTAGCTGCCTAGTGCACCTGGGAAAGCAGTGGAAGTTGGACCAAGTGCTTGTGTCTCTGTACCCATGTGGTAGACCCAGATGAAGTTCCTGGCTCCTGGCTTTAGCCTGGCCTGGCCTGGCCCTTTGGGGACATCTGGAAGACTGAACTAGTAGATGAAAAATTTCTCTCTAAAAACTCTTTCAAATAAATACATCTTAAATACATACATACATATATGTATATATATCTGAAATATCCCAGTAAAATATTAGAGATTAGAAAAGAGATATGAAAACAATACTTACCTATACACCACCTTCAAGAAAACTCACTTTAAATGTAAATGCAATGCTCAAAGCCAAAAAGCTAGGCAAAGACACGCTATATAAATGCTAATACCATGTCACTATCAGAACAGGCACTATAACCAGGGACCTTACACAGTGATCAAGGAATTGGTTTATAAGGAACATGCAACAACCCTAAGTGTGGCTGAATAGCATTTCAGAGCTGCAGAACGCACAACCCTGAAGGAATGCATTCCCAGTGATGGCTGGCCACTGCCACACTTCTTTCTCCATGACTGATGCCACAGCAGTCGGTCAGTGAGGACTCAGGAGAACTGAACATGATGGGCAACAGGGATCCAACTGAAGGGCCAGGACTCCTCCTCCACCCTGAGTCGAACATACATATTTGCAAGAGCACAGGGGACATTCATCAGCAAGGAGCGACCTCTAGGACCCAGGACGATGTTCAACCAACTTCCAAAATAATGGAAATGACACAAAGAATATTCTGTGACCACAGCAGGGTTAATTTAGGTATCAATTCCAGAAATACCATATAGATAATATCCACAGACTTGCAAATTTAACAATATGTTTTGAAACAACCAAGGATCAACAAGGGAGCCTCAGAAGGAAAAAATATCAGAAAAATATTTTCAAATAAATGGTGACACAATATATAAAAATTGAAGGTTACAGTTAAAGTATTAGAGAAAGATTCACAGCAGTTTGTATTAGAAAAGAACTGTGGAGCTAGTGCTGTGGCATAGTATGTTATGCCTCTGCATAAGGGACCAGCATCCCACATGGATGCTGGTTTCCGTCCAAGCTACTTCACTTCTGATCCAGCTCCCTGCTAAAGTCTCTGGGAAAGCAGCAAAACAATGGCCTAAGGCCTTGGGCCCCTGCACTCATGTGGGAGACTGGGAAGAAGCTCCAGGATCCTTCACTGAACTGGCCATTGCAGCCATTCTGGGAAGTAGACCAATGGATGGAAGAGCTCTGTTTCT